TAAGGCTTATCAACCTTGGCAATTTAATGAAATGCATCCACCCCTAGTTTGTTCATTTCCAAAAATAAAGATGTGGAGGAACTGCTGAATTACACTTGCATGTGTTCAAATGATCAAATTAAAGTGCTAGGTATGTTAGCAATAATAACAAGTTAATGGAAAAAAGACATACATTGTATGAGAATTGCCAGAACTGGTTGCTATTTTTAGCCTTTCCCATCTTTACTTACAATCACTCCCTCTCTGTCTTATCCTCCCTATAATCATTTCACTTTTTATCATTGACCTCTTCATATTCAGTGCTAAGTAAAAATTTTAATTAGGGAAACTTTATTCTCAAACCTTTCCAGTCTTTCTCTTTGACATTGTTGTTTTCCATATCCAACTTTCTATCCCCAGGAGATCAGTGCTCTCAAAATATTCCCAGATTTTTCCTTGTTCCCCCTGCTCCCCTTGCTAATAACCATAACAATAGCAGCAGCAGCAGCAGCAAAAATACTGTACTAAGCTCTTCTATACATCATTTTATTAATCCTTGGGACGACCTCAGGTCTTACTATTGTGTTTGTTTTTACAGATCAGGAAACTATGGTTCAAACAAATTAAATAACTCATCTAGACGAATGCAGCTGGTGAGAAATGAAATAGATTTCTTGGGTTTTGGAACTGGGATCTGAATGCAAGTCCATCCATATCAGAACCTGAGCTCTGAAACAAAATGATAAACAATGAATAGCCAGTATAACGAGAGAGAGAGCTCAAGTTGGAGGCAAATGACTCTCCTGTATGATCTGGGGCAAGTAATGCAATCTCTTATTCCTAGATTTCATCACATTCTATCTATGCATGGTTGTCCTACTTGAAGAGAACCCCTTATCTGAGCCTATCCTTTGCTCTGCTCTCCAACACCTCTCCAACGCCTAAAGTTTACCTGTCTTAGATCTCCAAATCTCTGCTTCCAGCTAACTGTTGTTTAGAAAACTTTTAAACAAATGAATACAGGAGTATTAGCCTTGTTAGAGACACATGTTTTCTAGGGTAGCTTCCAAAACCACAATACCGTAAATGAAAGTATAATTTTAGATACTGAAATGAATGAGTGAAAAACTTAAGTGTAAAATGACTATAACTCAATAAAAAAAAGTTTTAAAAAATTTTTTAAATGAAAAAAGAAAAAGAAAAAGAAAAAGAGAAACTTAAGTGGTCAAGAGAAGTCTTTCTAATATCCCTCAACTATGACACCATATAGACCAGTGCGTATCACACTGTTACACCTGGGCATGTGTTAAAATGCAGATTCTGGGTCAGTAGATGTGCGATAGAGCCTGAGATCCTATAGTTCCAGCAAGTACCCAAGTGATACTGATGCTGCTGATAACCAGACCAAACCTGTAAATCATCCATTCCTTTTACAGTCAAGTCCATCTTCTTTAATCTTTGATTCTTTTCCTGTTTTTCTTTGCTACATAGCAAGTTCGAGAAACTATAAGGTCTGATTTTTCAGTTTCCTCTTTGTATGACCCAAGATGATAACCCTTACTTTCTTCCAAGATCTGCTCTGCACTTAGGAAGATGTATCACATTTAACTAAATATATCTAGGTGTTTTTAGGATTGAGATCCAAACCTGCAAGATTGTTTTTCCAGTTAAAATAAAAATAACAATAAATTACTTTTTTAAAAAGCTAAAACTGTACCTTAAAAGAATCAGGAAATATGAGGACATGAAGAATATTGAGAATTAAGAATCCTACTTTCTTTTTTTCAAACTTGTTTTTATTCTCAAAAACCTGGCCTCTTGCAACTTAAGGTCCAGGCTGGCACTACAGACAGATGCTTTCTATGAAAGCCTTTTCATTAGCAAGAGCTACTCAAAGGTGGTAGCAATACAGTAAATCATCACACGTGTTCATATTCAAAACAAAAACTACTAGTTCTTCACTTTTCAGAGGTTGAGAAATGTGAAACTTTGTGGTCAAAATTAATTTGCATCTATTTATTTGCTAAAAAAATTATTTCTTAATAAATGTAACTTTAAAAACTCATGAACCTTAGGGAGGAGGGTATAGCTCAGTGGTAGAGCACATGCCTAGCATGCATGAGGTCCTGGGTTCAAGCCCCAGTACCTCCATTAAATAAAAAGATGAATAAACCTAATTACCTTCTCCCTAAAAAGAAGATTAATTTAAAAAAAACTCATGAATTTTAAACTGAAGGTAGCTCATCTTACTTTTATTAATCTACAAATGAAAAATGCTTATCAATACCAGTCATGTCACAATAGATCATTTTGCTTATATCTTACTTTTATCATTTTCAAGAAAATTAAGTAATGCAAGGTTGAAATCACTGTTTTGTAAGACTATTTGTAAGTAGAATTTTAAATAATCATTTTCTTTTGATTTTCTTTGTATTCAAATGAGAGGCAGTTGCATCAACTCTCTTTCTTTACAATTATTTGTTTAAAAATCTCCACATAGCTTCTATTTCTTTGCTATTTAAAGTATGGTCCAAAGAGTTTGTTAGAATTGAAAATCTCAGGCCCCATTTTAGTACTGCTCAGCCAGAACACATATATTAAGAGGATTATCAGGTAATTCAAATGCACATCTATGATTTCTTAGATGAAAAGAACAGAACTGAGTGGCAAATTTTAAAAGTTACAGTAATAAAAGCATAACTGTATATTAAAAGCAGATGCTATCCAGGGGGAAGGAAGTGGGAATAGATAAACTGGAAGTAAGAGATTTGTAGATACTACTATATATAAAATAGCTAAACAACATCTTTATACTCTGTAGCACAGGGAACCATATTCAATATCTTGTAGTAAACTATATTGAAAAAGAATATATGGATGTTCATGTAAGACTGAAGCATTATGCTGTACACCAGAAACTGACTATACTTCAATTTTTAAAAAATAATAATAAAAAAACAGATTCTATAAATTTTTCTCAGCATATCATCATTGAGCATTTTTTAACCCAAAGCAGATACTCTTAAGGTAATATTATTGTAAAAGACCACCAATCATTCAGCATTCTTTGATGTTGCTATTTACCATGTGACGTTAAATTCTATTTCTTATTATTTTGTCTGTATCTTATAACATGTATCAATATACCATAAATCATAAAACCTTTTAAAGTCAATTCAAATATGTAATTATTTCAGAGATATTAAAGGAACCTAAAGCAAAGGATTAAACAATAACAGGGAGAATACCATGACTTTAAGTACAGAAATAAGAATCAAGTTACTAATTTCCATCTTTGAAACATGTAAAAGACCAGAGGACTAAAATATTTATCACTGATTGTGACATAGTTGTTTCTTTTTTACCCTGGTCCACATCTTATAACATTACTGTTCTCTTTCTCTTTCTCCCTTGGTGTGTCATCTTTCTATTTACTTGTTTTCCCTGCTTATAACCTAATTCTTTCCTACCATTATTCCTAGCAAGCAATTCCTTCCCTATTTCTCTACATTTATTTTCTCTTACTTATTTTTCCATGCTTATTTCTTTATTTGACCATTCTCTTTAAACAAGTTTATTTATTTATTGCTTACTTAGCTATTTTCTTTTTCCCTTCCTGCTATTCCTTACCTACCCTTAAACCTTCCTCCATCCCCAACACATGCACACATTCACACTAGACTGGAAAGTCCAAGTCTTGTTCACTGCAATGATCCAGCACAGAGTAGTGCCTGGCACAAGGTAGGGCCTTGGTGTATATGTATTGAATGATAAAACTAATAAACAGTATATCTTCATTTGACATGAAACGTCTCTTCACTTCCATACCATTTATTTTGTTTGTATCTCTTTTCATACTTCATCCTGTAATACAGTTTCTGGTCCAGGTATTTCAGATAATTAACATCTTCCTTACTCATGGCAAATCCCTTAAGGTCACATTTAACACCAAATCTTCCAGAGACCTCTCATATACCATTGCATGTACAAACCACCCAAGTAGGCTAACTAAATTAATTAAAATTTTCTAGAAAATGAAAAAACAAAAAACAAAAAGGGTTTCTAGATGCTAAAGCAAACTATTCCTAGATTGCAAATAAGAGAATTTTCAAGACTAATTCTTATCATTTCAAGCTTTCCCCAGATTCCTAAGAGTTTTCAAGTCTAGTTATCATTTCACTGTTGTAAGACAATTTTTAATGACATCAATCTACAATAACCTATCTTGGTTATTCAGTCACTGTAAAGCCCTGAGCTAGGCCACTGGGCATATGAAGTGATTGAGACACTGTCCTGCCATCAGTAAGCTTCCAGTCTAATGGGGAAGGCTGACACTGATATAATAAATGGAATCTAAAAAGATTCTATAGTTAAAGAATGTATGATGCAGTGGAAGAATAGGTCAACTTTCCTGGGGAGACAAGAAGGCTTCTTCAAAGGACTGATCTGGGCTTTTGTTGATGTTGTTGCATTTTATTTCTAAATAAATACTGGAGTGGGTGAGGGAAGGTGAACAAGACACCAAAACATCATCAACTACATCCTATATTAATACTTTATATCAAAAGGCTGACAGCATAAGAAGATAGCTTTATGCTGTAACACTTGACAAATACAAGGTAAAAAGAATTAGCTTTGCAATGAAACTCTTTGCCCTTCTTGTGTTTTCCGTGTTCTCAAATTTCTTATGGTTGGAACTCAAACTCAGACTGGGAATCAGAAATAGAATTAATCAACAGGTTAACATTTACTGAGCACCTATCATGTGCCTCGCCTTCTGTGAAGTACTGCTAAGAATAAAAGGAAATGCAAGATGAGGGTTCTGTCCTAGGTCAAGAGGAATTTCAAGAAGAGAATAAGATTTACATACATGAAAAAAATGATCAGACATAATAGCATTAACCCAATAATATAATACTGGGAATTTCAGAGAAGACTCTTAGAATTAAGTTCCAGTAAAATGCTTACTCTTTAAGCTTGAGTAACGATGCTTAATATCTTTGTTCGTTTATTGAGGGGGTTTGAAATATTTTCCACCAACGCCAAGGGCAGTTGAAAGAGATAACAATGGTAAATTGTTCTAAATAACATAAAGGCAAAGACTAAAAGAAATACCAACTATATTGTGTTGTTTAGGGGCAGATTCCATTATGCAGAGATGGGAAGGGAAAACCACAGTCTACACATTCATCTCCCTGGTGCAAGTGGGTATTGTTCTGTACCCCTGTTGTGGCAGGATTAGAAATACCACCAGGGAGCAAGTACACAAAGTTGTTATGGAAACCAGAATGCTTCAGCGCACAGTTATTTACAGAGAACTTCCAGGATTATCACATTCAATAAAATCAACTCTGCTTTGCTTCACTCTGTGCCAGCGCATCCCAATCAAATATCTAGTTTGAAGGGTCCTTCAGGCAGCTGCATTTGGCTGCATATGGATTCAGGAATCAGTGGATGGTGGTCCCATCACTAAGTAAAATTTATATATGGCATTTTTGTATTACATGCTTGACACTTGTTCACACTTGCCCCAACTATTGTCAAGTTTGCTGGTTTCCGTAATATAGGAACAAGGTGGCTGTTGACTAATGCCATTGGCAGAGAAACATTTCCTCCAATGTAGCTGCTGTCTGTGTTACCTGATTCCGCGGTACTGCAACACTTCTCTCCACATTCTTTCTACTTGCGTTTAAGGCTAGACAGTGACAGCTGCCTCTGGCCAACATTTTCGTCTTTAATTGTGAATTGTGATTCTCTCAGCTATTGAACAAGATCTTTGAAAAAAGACTTTTCTTTCTTCCCCCCCTTTTTTTTTTTTTTGCAAAAATGAGGATTTTCATAGCCTTTGAGGGATCTTTTGAACCATTTGATGTTTCAGCAGATGAAACTGTGGAGGCTGTCAAGCTAATGATAAAGGTATGTACTTTGTCCCTGAGCCACTAAGATGTGTGTTAATTTTAACTATGTGGTGAAGTTTAAACTGTATGTGGGGTGGAGATACTATTGGGTACATTTTCAGCAAACAGGGAACTAAAACTATTTGAAAGTATCTGTTTGCTTACAGTTGGTTAGAAGATATTAACTATGGAGGTGTTGGGAAAATTCTCAGAAAAAAAGTTTAACTTCTCTTTATTTTGTAAATTGTGCACTGGCCAGATAGTATTATTGCAATTCTTCATAAAAGGACAAAAACAAGACACTAACTCTAGGCTATGTAAGTGGAGCGTGCCAGTTGTCAGATGGCTTGTTTGATGAGCAAGCAACTATAGAAAACCAAAGGATTTTGGAGGTAGAGAGCAGTTTTGGGCTACAGCCTCATTTTGCGTCTAGGGAAAATTGAAGCTCAGAGAGGTTGACCATTTAACCTAGGATCACAGAGCCAGAATAAGAAATAATTTGGGTGTAGTACTTTTCTTACAAATTTCTTGTAAATAGTCACCCTAAATGGGAAATTAAGACAAATATTTAGGTCCTGATCATCAAATGGTATTTAACTTGGAGATGATTATCCCCGTTTGCTAAGGAGCATTTACTGAATCACAGTTACATGATATTCAGTAAATTAATACAATCACTGAAATCTAGATCTTCTAACACAGAGGCTCTTAATCTTTATGTGTTGTAGATCCCTTAGCCGGTCTGGTGAAGCATATGGACTTCTTCTCAGAATGTCTTTAAATGCATAAAGTAAAATAAATACCCCAAAAAGGAAACCAGTTATATTGCAATACAATTTTCAAACATTAAAAAACAAATTTGTGATAGAGTGATGTAGGATTCCTTACTAACACATTAGCAAGTGTTTGCAGTGTATCTAATAACTATTACAATTTCTAAGGATATATATATATAAGTATAAATAATATTTTAAGATATCTGCAACAAGTACAATGTGATATGAAAATATCTGTAATTTCTATTAGTGACAAAGTCACCAGTACAGGTAACTACTGTTACTTTAGTTTGTTGCCTACATACATAAGGAAAATCCAATGTTATTTGAAGTTAATAAAAACCAAACATAGTTTTTTCCCACCTAAATTCCATCCATAAACCTTCAGGGATGTCTAAAGACTCCAACCTCTATCTAACACCTCTTTCTTCTGTCCCAAACAGTTTAAAAATACTCAGTGGAAAATTGTAAAAGAAAAGATAACACATTGCTGGTCTAGTAATATAGACATGTACCATTTTCACAATATGCTATTGATTTTCAAGGATTTTTTCCACATTCCTCTGTCTGAAGACGAACAAGGCAGGCGGTATCTGGAGCTGATGTATGCTGGAGCAACCCTAAAGGACAGCTGGAGTCTTACTGATGTTGGAGTATCTTTTTGTTCAACTCTCAAATGTTTCGTTAAGGTATGATGGTCAGAATAACATTTATCCAAGATGTCTACCTCATTTTGAATAAAGTTATGGCTAATTCAACCGAAGTAATTTCATAACTTAGGAAGCGGTTTTCTCTTCTTGCCTTTTCCTCTCTTCCACTTGTATAACTAGCCTTATGCACAATCTGTGCTGTAAGGGGAAATAAAGTGTGGAGACTGGTTAGAGTTCCTCTTGTTTACTCCTTATCTCCTTCCCTCCACTGTTCCCCTGGTTACCTTCCCCAAAACAGCCATCACAGAGCAACCCACAAACCAACACGGAAACAAGGCCAAAGGGAAGATCTGCAATACTGATGTGGGAGAAAGAAGATTAGGTCACTTCCGTGGGTTTACAGTGGATCAGGGAAATAAGGAAATGAAGAAATTCTCAGTAACAACAGGATGAAGGGGTAGTTTCAACATTCAGATCCACCAGCATAGCCATTCATGAATTAGGCACATACAATGGAGATGGCTGTTTCCATTTATGGTGTCCTTAATCAGTGGTGCTTAATTTGGGGTCCATGGCTAGACTTTAAGAACAAAACCCTAAAATTGCAAAAACATGTGAAGTTATGTACCTGGAGACTTTCTGGGTGGAGGATTCTTAACTTTTGTCAATTTCTTACAGAGAAAGGTGGCCTAAAGAGTATAAGAACTGCTCTTGAGGGTAGAAATATTAGTCGGTACCAGCTCTTTACCCCACATAAAAACATGAGCCCCAAGGAACTTAGTAAAGTACATATTCTCTGCTAAATGAGGCACTCATTTTCTTATATTTAGCATAAAAAAAGTTTATGGTAGCTAAAGTTAACTCTTTGTTTTCATATATTTCACTGATTGACAAAGTGGGAAGTCTATTTTTAAAAGAAATACTCTAAAATATTTATTATTAAATAGTGAAGTCACAGAAAAATAAACATTGTATGATCCCATTCATGTAAATAAAAAGACCATATTTGTGTGTCTTTAATGTTTGATAAGCATTTATTCATGTATATAATTTTTTAGTTTTTTTATTATGCATCTTTTGATAGATTTTTAAATTTTTTATTACAGTAACATTGGTTATAACACAAGTTTTATGTGTATAATATAACATTTCTACTTCTGTATACTCTACAGTGTGCTCCTCACTAGAAATTTAGTTTCAGTCCGTCACCATACAATTGACCCCCTTTACCCATTTTGCCCTTAGCCCCTCACCCCTTTCCATTGCTAACCACTACTTGGTTCCCTGTAGCTATGTGTTTGCTTTGGTTTGGTTTGGTTGGTTCATTTATTTCGTTTTGTTTGGTTTTCATAGTCCACATATGTGAAATCATAAGGTATTTGTCTTTCTCAGTCTGACTTACTTCACTTAGCATAAAACCCTCTAGGTCCAACCATGTTGACACAAATGGCAAGATTTAATCTTTTTATGGCTAAGTAGTCCCATTGTGTGTGTGTGTATATATATACACACACACATATATCTATACATATCCATATTATGTGTACCTCATTTATAGCATACATATATATCTTCTTTATCCATGCATACGTTGATTGACATGGTTAGTTTGTTTCCATATCTTGGCTATGGTAAATGATGCTGAAGTTAACATAGGGATGCATATATCTTTCTGAATTAGTGTTTTTGAATCTTTGGATAAATACCCAGAAATGGGATAGCTGGATAATATGGTAGGTCTCTTAACTTTTTTAGGACTCTCCATACTGTTTTCCACAGTGGCAGCACCAATTTACATTCCCAGTAACAGTGTATGCACGTTCCTTTTTCTCCACATTCTTGCCAACACTTGTTATTTCTTATCTTTTTGATAATAGCCATTCTAACAGGAGTGAGGCAATATCTCATTGTGTTTTCGGTTTGCATTTCCCTAGTAATTAGTGATGTTGAAGGTCTTTTCATGTGCCTGCTGGCAGTATGTATGTCTTATTTGGGAGAATGTCTATTTAGTCCCTCTGCCCATTTTTAAATTAAGTTGTTTGTTTTCTTTTACTGAGCTGTGTAAGTTCTTTATGTATTTTGGATATTTAAGATTTGCAAATACCTTCCACTATTTCATAGGTTGCTTTTCATTCTGTTGATGATTTCCTTTGCTGTGCAGAAGCTTTTTAGTTTGATGTAGTCTCGTTTGTTTATTTTTCCCTTTGTTTCTCCTCCCTGAGGAGACACATTTAGAAAGATATTGCTAAGATCGATGTCAAAGAGCATGCTGCCTATGTTTCCTTCTTTTGAGTTTTATGGTTTCAGGTCTTACATTTAAGTCTTTAACCTATTTTGTGTTGATTTTTGTGTATGGTATGAGATACTGATCTAGTTTCTTTTGTTCTTCCTCTTCTTCTTTATTTTTTTTTTCTCATATGTGGCCGTCCAGTTTTTCCAACAGCATTTATTGAAGAGACTATTCTTCTTTTTTTCATGGAGGTATTGGTGATCGAATCCAGGACCTCATGTAGGCTAAACACATGCTCTATTACTAAGCTATTACCACCCCCCTTGAAGAGACTGTTCTTTCTCTGTTGTATGTTCTTTGCTCCTTTGTTATAAATTAATAGTCCATATATGTATGAGTTCATTTTTCAGCTCTCGATTCTATTCCATTAATCTATATATCTGGTTTTTTTTGCCTATATCATGCTGTTTTGATTACTATAGCTTTGTAATACAGTTTAAAATCAGAGAGTGTGATACCTTCAGCTTTGTTCTTTTTTTCCTCAAAATTGCTTTGGCTATTCAGGGTCTTCTATGGTTTCATGTAAATTTTGGAATTTTTTTTGGTCTATTTCTGTGAAAAATGTCCTTGGAATTTTGATAGGGATTGCATTGAATCTGTGGATTGCTTTAGGTAATATGAACATTTTAACAATGTTGATTCTTCCAGTCAGTGGGCATGGACTCTCTTTCCATTTCTTTGTGTCTTCTTTGATTTCATTCAGGGTCTTACAGTTTTCAGTGTACAGGTCTTTCACTTCTTTGGTTAAATTTATTCCTAGGTACTTTATTCTTTTTGTAGTGATTACAAATGGGATTGTTTTCTTAATTTCACTTTACACTAGTTCATTTTGGTGTAAAGAAACACACAAATTTTTGAAAGTTGGTTTCGTACCTGCATCTTTGTTTATTATTTCTAATAGTTTTTTGACAGAGTCTTTAGGGGTTTCTCTATGTAAAATTATGTCATCCACAAATAGTGACAGTTTTATGTTTTCCTTTCCAATTTGGATGCCTTTTATTTATTTTTTGCTTCATTGCTCTGGCTATTACTTCCAATACTATGTTGAGTAAGAGTGGCAAGTGTGGACATCCTTGTCTTGTTCCTGATTTTAGGGGTATTATTTTTACATTCTTGAAAAATATCTAATTATCAAAAAAGGAAGTAAAAACAACTTTAATTTCCTCTGCTTTTCTCCCTCTGATACTCAGAAAATTACAGTATAATACTTTTTAAAGCATACTAAATTCCATGTCATTTCTTAAATGTCCTTTAAGTCTATATATATATATGTGTGTATGTGTGTACACATTTAAATACATACATATATATATTTATATAAATTTTAAATATATTTAAGTAATATTACATATATTTATATATATATTTAAGTGTGTGTATATTATATATATATATATATATATATATATATATATATATACACACACACTTGTATATACATTTAAAAGTGTGTGTGTGTGTGTGTGTGTGTATGATGTGTTTTTGTTAGTATACAGACTAAATCCTCTAAAATTTCCTGGAATTCTTCAATGCTAATAATGATGTTCAAGACTTTTTTGTTGTTTGCTTACTTGGAGAGAGAGGTGTAAGATCAATACTAATATTTGAACTGGCTGAAAGAATCTAATTGAACCATAGCTATTCAGGGATGTAGATAAAGTGTGTTAAGAGTATGAATAGAATACTTCTACTTAACTAAGCACTGACTTAATTTTTATTATTTAAAATTTAAATTTTTTAACTAGGTAGTACATTCACATGGTGCTCAATTCAAATGATACAGAAGGATTTACATAAAAAGCCTCTCTCCTAACTCTGGCCCCCAGTTTCCCTCCACAGAGGCAATCTATGTTCATAGTTCTACTTATAAAAATATTTGATAAATCCCATCAATTAAGCATCATCTGTTACAGTGATGCAAGCTGCCTTTGCACTGAACTCTAATCTTTCCCTGGAGTTCTAAACTGCTAAAGATAAGAATAGAATGTAAAGGTAAAAGACTATTCAAGAGAGCCTTGGCAGAATATAATTACGAGTCACAGGACTGGCCAACACCTAGAGTTTAATTAAAAACTCAAATTCCATGGAACTCTTACTGATCTGAATTTTCACCTTCTCTGGTAGAATCATATTTAAAGAATTTCTTATCACTAGTTTTGGGCAGGAAAACAATATCTTGAATCTGAAGGAAGAGAATTACCTGCAAAAGCCATAATATTGGTTTCCATCCTATCTTACTTCCTGTTTAGATTAGATGATAAAACAGGCCTATTTCAAAAGTCTACACTATTTACTGTGCATATATGATAACAGTCCCATCTGGGCTTATAACAACAAAAGTACCTTATGAAAATATCCCATGCTTCAAAGAATGAAGTCATACCAGCTCTATACTGTTTGATCTATCTTAGGTAACTGAAGGCTGCCTCCTAAGTCATGCTATTGCTCTACTATATAATCAGATGTATACAAACTTAAGTAGTACCTTGCCTATCTAACTATGTTATCCATGCAATTAGTTCCACATTCTGAGAAACTAGTAAAGTTAGAGTCTCTTAATTTATTTGATCCAACTTAGAAATAGCATGATGTGAACCAAAAACTTGGCAAATAAGCACTTTTTCTCTTTAAAAAGATGCAAGTGGATACTATATGTCATGAAATAAATCCCAAATGTTTGGTTTCTTTAATGTGTTTATATTTTTGTGTGGGTTACAAGATTTTGCTTGTGTAGAAAGAGGGAAAGACATTAGATAAGTTAAGAGGTGTTCTATTTTAAATAGTCAATAGGCTTTCCAGTTTCCCTGCTAATTACACCTTCTTCTTTAAAAGTAATGTAGACATATTTGGAAAAGTGAATGAGGGGAATGACATAAGAACAGTGAGGAAAGAACACTGCTTTAATTTTTCCTTCTTTGGAAAAAAACTCCTGTAGAAACCATAGGAAATACTTTCTATGGCATGTATCTCCAAGTTCTATTAACACAGGTGTGAGTCTTGCCCACTCACTGCTGATGCTGTGGCCATGCTCCTGTAGACCATGGCATGAAGCATTGTAAAGCCTGGATCACTGTCCAGCAGGCAAAGGTGCTACCACATTTACCTCCTTCATTCTAATCTGTATAATTGTGGAAACTATTGCTTGAACTTTGTTCGTTGTTGTCATCCAGTGCCTAAAATAGTACTTGGCACATAGGCTCTCCATGGACATGTGTTGAAAAAATGAGTTAATAAAGCCTTGAGGGGTACCACATGAAAATTGACAAGAAGTTATATGATTGTCATCAGAAACGTCACAGCAAGGTATTGAGATGCATTTCAGGGTTCGGTTCCCTTACTGTGGCATCTCTCCTGCCCCTCTACCTTTGAGGCAAGGCGACCCTGTCCTAGCACTTTTCCTTATCTAGCATCAGGGTCCTTTGGTTGCAAGCAGCAGAAAAGCACCCTGGACAATTAAAGAAGAAAATGAATATCCAGCAAGGCTTTTTGTAGTTCACAGTCTTCATGGGAAGATTAGATAATCAGGCTGAGAGATTATGCAGCCAGAAATAATTTCTAAATCATGATCCACAACTAGTCCAGGAAGGCCACCACTGCAGCTGCCCCGGAGCCCTCAAAGGAGGCACTGGACGCAGCCGCTAGCCCTGCTGCTGGGCCAGGAGTGCTTCAGATCTGCCACTGCCAGGGAAGAGTCCCTGCGTCTGCTGCTTCTCTTCCTTCCTGGCTCCAATTCAAGGTGGAGGCAGATGGGGAGGCTTGATTAGGAGCACCCACGTCACACATCTGGGTCATCCAGCAAAGGAGACTGAGAAACAACCACCTGGCAAGCTGTGTTTTCTACAGGGTGAGCGGGACTCAATCTCTTTAACACTCCTGGTTTCTTTGCCTCCTATCAGCATACTTCTGCCAACCCAGGGCTGCAGTTACAACTTATAATCCTTTCTGGCATCCTTGGAATGTTGTTTTATGGTGGGAGATTGTGTGATTTGTGGTACATTAGGTAGATGTCTATTAGACAAATTGGAGAAGTTTGAACTATACGAGTAGGTCTAAAATTGATTCAAAATAATATACATTTCAGCTTTCAAAAGGCACTATTAATATATAAACTTGACTTCTAGGAGATACATAATATGCGAATTTAGATTTTAAACACAAAAACATATATAAGCTTGTTTCTTAAAAATGTGTAATTTATAAACTTACAAACAAAAACATGTTTCTATATAGAATGGCTATTTATTTTTTAAAGATAAGCTGTAAAGAATAGTAGATAAAGAATTTGGTGATGAAAGGTGTTTCAATTCAGTGCCCTAGACTCCAAGTATAACATCTCCAGGATAACTAACATACAAAAAGAGAAGTTTATGAGGTTAAGATATTGATGAAAACATCTCAACTTTAAGTCATTCACTTCAACAAAAACAAACATAATTTCTCCTTTTGGTCTACTCGGGAATAATAGTTGGGTCAAGTTTTTGCTTATTTGATGCTGCAACTCCAAAATAGCAAATTATTAAAAAAAAAACCAGAACTTGAAAAAAGTGAAAAAAGTATAGCAGTGTTCAAAACTTGCATTACCTTCTCTTCTGTTTCTCCTTAAATTTTCCTATTTTATTGTTAACGTACATGTATGTATTTATAGCAAGTTTGTATTTGTTTTCAAAGGCAAAAGTGGAATTATTCCCATGAAATTGATCTATACTTTTTTTAATTGAAAAGTAAGACATTTTGTTTGTACCTCCGACCATAGTGTCTTGGTTAGTTTGTAAAGGGAAAAATAACACAGAATATGAATAAACATTTGTCTCCGAATGGAGACAAATGTTTATTCATATTCTGAGAAGCACCTTTTAAACTTATTTCTCTAACATCAGTTAGTTAGCTGTTAGGAGTGACTTAGGTCTTTGCTGCTTTGCACATTATGCATTTGATTCTAAATATAAATTTGAACCCATACCAAGGACTAACTTTAGGGAAATCAGAGTAATAAATATAATTTTTCTCTTTTCCTCACAATCCTTTTATTCATTTTTCATAGGAATTTCTTTTTGTCCACAAATATCATACGGATTACACTGAGCAGATACTTGCCTTAATAGAGCCATAGGAAAACATGAGCATGGAGAACGGGAAAGAATGAATCTTATGTCCTTTCAATTTTTATCGAGCGGGTTTATGAGAAGCTGCTGAGAAAAATTGTCCTAAGCACTTTAGATTCAGTGAACAGCTCAGCTTTCTGATGGCTTTAAGCTCAGCGGAAGTGAGCCAGAACCTGCTCCCAGTGATTTGAGTTACTGAAATGGACCCTAGATCAAAGCACTGCAGCCTAAACATTGATCAATAACACTGGTCATTAAAGGCTCTTTCAAAGAGATCTGCATGTTGATTACAGTATGGCAATGGGTTATCTGGAAGGCGGGGCGGGGGAGGGGAGAATTTAATGCATTATCAACCTGAAGCAGGGAAGGGCCCCTGCAGAAACCCGAGATGAATTTGATGGGAGAAAGGGGGAGGGGGGCGGAGGGATGGCAAGAGAGCAGTGGCTGGCTGGAGGTCCCTTGAGGAACCTGTTTGCCCAGGGGCCACTTCGCAGTCTTCCTCAAGGTCCCTCAAGACTACCACATTACCGTGAGCCCTCAGTGGCAGCTCTGTATGCTCATATCTGCCAAGCAAATGGCTCACTGAAGAAAGACATGATTGTCCTGAATCTGCTAAACAGGAAGTAAGGCCAGTTTCATTTTTTTGTTGTTGTTAGAAAAGTGAAAATTTTAATAACCTTTTCCTCCTCACCCCCTTCCCATTCTCCCCATTTGCTGCATTTTTAGTTTTGACTTGATTGATTTAGCTATTATGAACAGAAGGATTAATATTTTCCCAAACTTTCCCTCTTAACTCTATTTCAGACATCTCAGTTCCACTTGCTTTCCTAGTTAGATTCCAAAATAAAAGGAACAAAAGAAACTTTTTTCACTTGTATTTAGGACTTCCCTTTTTAAACAGTAAAAGTGCATGTGGTTATTTAAAAAAAAAAAAGTCAAATCATACAGACAAGGAAGAGCACAAAATGATATGCAAAACTCCCCTCCCACCCTGAGCTCAGTTCCATTCCCTGGAGATAACCTCACAGAAAATATTTTTTTAAGTTGGCTGAACGTTTAGAATCCACAGTGTTTCCAAGTCAAAGTGTAGCACACTGGAGGAGTCGTTTCTAAACAAATACCTCGGAAAGCGCAGTGTGGATAGAAACAATCACCACTCTGCTTGTGTATCTAGGTCCGTAAACTAAGAAGGAAGAAGGGACTCAAAGCTCTGCCAAGTCTCCTTTACTTTTCTCAAACCAAGAGGACTCATAAATATCCAGGACAGAAGAGCAGGAATCAGACCAGAAGTCAGGAAACGTAACTGGCCCTTGCTTTCTTTCATCCTTAGCACCCATGTCGTGGGAGCTAGAGGCACTCAGGGCCACCCTCCAAGATGTCTGCCCCCTGTACCAATCTCCAGACAGTGCTTATTTCTGAGTTCCCTCCTTTTCTCTCCCCTTAGGAAGAAGAGAAGCCCACTCTCTATGTGTTCAATGCTGTGACCCAAGAGACAATGCGGATAATGGAGAGCATTTCCCTTCTTGGTAAAAAAGTGTCTGATCTGAGAACACTAGTGGCTCTGAAATGTGGCTTCCCCCTGAGTGTCTTCTGTCTCCGGACGCCGGAGGGACTGGAGATGTATGACTGCAACACACTCAGGGACTACCAGATAGACATCGGTACGGCCCACCACACGTGATAGCAGCTGCCACTCAGCACTCAGGGCCTTTGATATCAGACTCACAACAAAAGGAGGAGTTGTTTCCAAACTAAAACCTCTGTAGGCACAGTATGGATATAAATTATCGACACCCGTCTCTAGTGTCTGGGTCTGTGAACTAAGAAATAAGAATGGTCTCATAGCCCTGCTGTATCTTATTCTCTTTGCTCAAAGCAGAAGGGCTTGTTAATATCCTCAGGATAGAAGACCAAGACTCAGACCTGTTTATATTTTCCTCTTTCAAAATATATTTCAAGCATATGGTAGAAGCAAGTTCAAGTGCATATTCCTTTTCCGCTTTTTAATGCAAGTGGTAGCATATGATACATACTGTTCTGAACCTTGCTTTACATGATCTTATTTTAAAATAGCGTCAGTTATATTCAGCACTCTTCTGAACAGTGTGAAGCCAATACTGAGTAGGCCAAATAGGTGCCTCCGTGAGCTGGCATTCATCCCTGATAGAGATTACAACCTGTCTTTAAGTACTGTACTTCCCGGTCATGTCTGCTGTCACCATACATCATTAAGCCAAACTGAAAGGACTTTCAGATTTATTTTAATCATATTGGAAAATGGTTCAAACCTTATATTCTTTTTTTTTTTTTTTTTGGAGGCACTGGGGATTGAACCCAGGACCTTGTGCATGCTAAGCAAGTGCTCTGCCACTGAGCTACACCCTGCCCCTAGAGATTCTTGCTTCAGGTGAATAAATCTCTGCTGACAATTAGCACATCTTTAGGTAACATTATGCTGTAACATTGACTGGGTGGAATTTGAATTTTCCCAACTTATAATAGGGCCTTGTAGACATTGTTGAGTTAAGCAGTTTTACTTTTTATAACTGCTAAATTTGCATTTATTGTTACCTCTTATTATATTTGCTTATTCTTTCATGTTATTTTTAATTGAGGCTCTCAAAACTTTGACATCAGTTATCACCCTGTTTTTGATCAGAGGAAGCAACATTCTAGGATTTGTCCTCAGAGCACCTTCCTGTAAAGCATGTGTCTGCTCTGCGTGCTTGCTGGGCGATCAGCCTTGCCCAGAACATGGTGGCAGTTGATTTGAGCAAGGGCACACAAGTGGCATTGTCCCCAAATAACTTATGTAATCTAGTTATTTAAGGAGATACGAAAGGATAAATGAGAAAACTCCTTTGGGTGACTGTTCTTCAGGCCTATGCCACTCAGATCATGATGTGACATTTTAGAGCTCAAAGAGAAGTAGAAATGGCCTGGCCCCACCCCAGATTTTTACAGATTCAAAGAAAGCAGAAAGATTCTGAATGGTTATATGACTTGCTCAAGGTGTGTCAAGGGTTAATAACACCCTTAAAATGATCCTCTTGGAAGGAGGGTTTTCAATGTCAAGTTAGAGGCTTGAGCATGACCAAGGTAGACGGCTTTGGCCACCATGAGGACACAGGGAATGGGAAGGGGGGCAAGGAAAGAGGGGCCTCAGAGGAAAAGGAGGAAGAGCCTTTGGCCTACTTCACACCTTTGCCTAAAGCATCCCTCACAGTCTATAAGTAGCCAGCTCACCTTTTTAAACTACAGAATAAAGGAGTCTCTGATCAGCCTCTCTTCCAGCTTCACCTCTTGCCAGTCAACAAGTCATCCCTGATGCTGTTGGGAGTTGAACCTTGACCCCTTTCCAAAGTCAGTGGGAAATCAGAAGGTTTTGGAGAAGCAGTCAAGTTCAGATTGAAAATCAAAGATTTAAGTGGCTCAAATAGTCACTGCACATACTAGCTTCTACAGTAACATACAAGACTGCTTCTACACTCTGGACATTTATAGTAAACTGGTAAAAATGGGACATGCATATTTACTCAGTTATAATCCACTAAGCCAGCTCAGTGTAGGCTGAAGGGCTCAAGGGAAGGTATTCAAGAGAGTGTTGGGCCTGAGCACACAAAGATGAGAGAAATATGGATTATCTGAGAGGAGGAAGGGAAGACATTCCAGGCTTCGGGGCCAGGAGAAAAGCATAAACCACAGGTTCATGAACTTGGGCTTGATCTTGAAGACAAGAAGCAGGAGGCAGTTCCAAAGAGTGGCAGGTCTTTGCTAGAACCAATGGGAATCACAGCTGAGGTCAGGTGGAGGAAGGTCTTAGGAGTGAGGCAACAGGGCATGGGCTTAGTGTGTTCACAACCAGGGCAGGTACATTCTGGGACAGTGGTGTTTCAACAGAACTTTAATCTGGTGGCATGCAGCATGAAATACAGAAAGGAGGGGGAGAGACTGGAAGCAGGGTGATATGTTAACTGGAGCTTTTGATAATCCCAGCATTAACTAATTCCCCTAGCAATGAAGAGACAAGTCTGAGAAACTCATGAGGAAGAGACAGAATGTTGTGCTGGACTGCATCTAAGAAGAGGGGAACACCAAGGCTCTGACACTAGGACAGCGCCGGTGAAATTGGGAAAGGGAGCTTAAGCTTTGGGTCCTAAACTTTAGCTATAAAGAAACTCAGAGAATACTTTTTTCTCTGAAAATTACTCAGCTAGTTAATGGCAAAGCTGGAAGTACGACTGAGGTCTTCTAATTCTTCTCCTGACAAATACGGAGCTAGGGCTTGAATGATGGGTGGAGTTCGCAGATATTGCTGTAGGCGTCCTGCCCATGGAGTTGGGGGTAGAGCCCTATGAGAGGTGTTTTCCTTAGAAAGTAAATACAGAGAGGAACGTGTCAAGGGCCAAGGGCCCGTGCTCAGTATGTGCTGAAGTCAGCGTAAGTAGAGAAGAGGAGTCAGAAAACGAGACACGAAACGCCATCAGAGTCTGGAGGAGAATTGGGACTTTGTATTGTCACAGATGAAGAAAAGACTGTTTGCAGGATGCTGGTAGAAGGCCAAAGACAGTTTCTTAGAAAAACCTTTTAATTTGGCTTAAAGGTCATTGGTGAGCCCAGAGAGAGCAGTTTTAATAAAATGGATGTTAAATAGAAAGACTGTAGGGATTAAGACGAAGATAAGTAATAAGGGGATGAAGGGCTTTTGGGTGGTAGAATATTTAATAATTAACTTACCATGAATTTATCAAAGCTAAACATCCACTAATGTTTGGGATTTTGTAATTTTGTGACTTGGGGTTTAGTGACACATCACATAGGTCCAATATACACACACAACACAACACACACCCCTTTTCTTGCATCAACCTATGTGGGATAGATGTTCATTTTACTCCCATTTTTAGTTCTTAAATCTCCACCCTGGCTTTTGCTTTCCTCTTGCTTATCTATGTGCTTGTCTGCCTGTTATTCTGTCTATATTTTATATATGAGTATAAACTGACATCAGGCCTTTCTGGAACAAAGTGTACTGGAACAAATGAGTGAAGAATGAAAGCCTTTCCTTTACAGAATGATGCCATTGGTACTTTTCACTGAGAATGCCTCACGGCATGTATTCATGGCCAGACTGAGCACATCACACCTGAGAGATTCTTCCAGAAGCAGGGTCTTGTCAGCTCAGCCCCTGAAATCTGGGCGGGCTCCAGAGTCCCTCCACCAGCCCTTGGGTCCCTCAGAGACTCACTGTGCCATTTTAATTTCTTTTATAGATAAGAAAACTGAGTCTCAGAGAAGTTAAGTGACCTGCTCAAGGTCATACTGGTAATAAATAGTAATTCCACACTCAGGATTTGGGTTCTTTCCAACAGTTTATACTGCCAATCCAGCGTGCCTTTACTGATACCTATTTTCATTGGTGCTCTTTAAGTTCTGATCAATGCTTTGTTTTGATTCCCGTTAGGGGAAACTCAAACCAGAGGAAAGGTTTCCACATTCAGGAAGAAAAATCCCAAATCAGATAGGCAGGTGTTGACCCCAGAGTACGTATGAGGAATCCCAAAACTTGGGATACAGGGACCATGTGGGGAGAGCTTGAAGACAATTCCATAGAACAGGCACTTTTACAGGCACCTGCTTTCCTTCAGCGCTTGGGCATGGTAGATGGGTTTGTAAGTAGAGAGTGGGTGAATCCAGGTTTTGTAAATATATGCAATTTGGGGGAAGTCCTCTTCAAAAAATTAAGAATATAGAATTGCAAAGTTCATGTAGTGAGAGGCCCTGAAGCCTAAGTCTCATTAGTTTTACTTTCATTTCAGTTATAGATTTTAGTTCTATTTTCTGGGCCAACATAGCATTTTAAAAACAGACTTCTATTTTCCAACAGAATTCTTGAGCTTACGAAGGAATTTAGCAAGTGACAAAGGAGGGATTACAAATCAGTTGGGATGGAAGGATTATCCAATAAATGGCGCTGGTTAACTTACTTAGAAATTCTTTGGCTATTCAAAAGTTGAGCAGTAAGAGAAAAACCATCCATTGTTACTTTTAATCTTTGAGAAACTAGGACTGCTTCATTGCAAGGAACTGAAATTGATAGTTGTAACATCTGTTGCATTTGCTCACATAAAATACAGGGCTTGATGGAGGTGCCCGACTGCTGATGAGACTTTAAATCATGTCATATTTTTTTTTATAGTTTTCAGAGCTCATTAGTGGTGGACAGGTTGATCTAGGGACCCTGAGGACAGAGCTGAGACCCTGAGACTAAGCAATCACCTAGGGAAAAAGAGATGGGCCAGGAAGACCCCACCTATAGACATCTAGCAGAAGGAGGTTAGCCTCAAATAAGTCCTACTGGTGGGGTTCCTGGACAGGCCTGCAGGTCAGTCTGCAGACAGCAATTGGTAAGAACGAGGAAGGCAGAGGGTGAGGAGCCACAGGGATATCCAGCAGGGGCCTGGTAGGGGAACCATAGCATCAAGGTAGTGAATGAATCAATGAATGAATGACATGGGAGGTGGGAAATGAGACAAGCTGGTTGCTGACACTGAAGCCTCTGTCAACATGCAACAGAAATCTAACCCCAGAGATTGAGGTTCAGAGTAGGAAGTCTCTGAGTTCCAAGCTCAGAGAATAGAGATGGGACCTCAGTTCCAAAACCCAAAAGGTAGAATAGGATACTAGGACGTATGCTCTGAGGAACAAGGTCAGGGCTTGGTCAGGAGGAATAGGGCAACTTACTAGAATGAGGATGTCTAACAGTTATCCACCAAACTTCTGAGCTACTCGCCTGGAATCTTAACAAATTCCCTCCTACTGAAATTAAGATTGTACCATGGGCCTGAGGTTGGTTTGATCATTCAAATGGGGGCTGTGTGGCCTCAAATGTGGAAGATCAAGGATGCTGGGGTACAGTGCCAGGCTAAAACTGTCCAATGTTCATCTCTGAGTGATTTTCATAATAAACTAAAAACATAGCAAGTCATTTAAGTCAGGAGACGAAATAAATGTACTTGGAACAGTACTTAAAGTCTTCTGTTTCAGTGCCATTTGTAGGAATCAAGCATTTTATAAGCAACTTTAAATATGGCAAGAAGCTTTAGAGAAGCTATTCTCTATAAACTCTTCTATAGAGAACTATAGAGAAATCTATCATGCCAAAGATGATTCATATTTTGGAAAATGTTTATCAAGGCATTTCCAGAGTGTATTTGCAGAACCACTACAGAATAATTCCATAATTCTCCAGCAAAAAGAGTGAATTTTCCTAGTTGAGGCCAGACTTGTGAGCACTGAGGTAGGTTAAGGGCATGAGGGCAATAATGCAGATCAGGCTCTGGAGTAAACGAGCACATTAAATAGGGATCTACCCACAAAGGACAGTGAGCCAAGGTCAAGAAATCAAAAACCAGAGTCAACAGTAATCAAAGAAGAGCCCCACTTCAAGATCACAGGTGGTGAGGTAGGACAGATGTCCAGGAAGGGAGGGGTCAGCAGAGAGAACATACACTTGGGTGTGTGTTTACCTGTGGAGTGGAGGAAAGAAGGGAGAGAGCAGGGAAGCAGAGAGAAAAGAAAGAGAGGCAACTGAAAGAAGGAGGCTTTCTAAGCATTAGAAAAAGTTCTAGTGTGTGTGGTGGGGTTGATGAGTAGCTGTCAAATAGCTCAGTGGGAGAGCTCATGCTTAGCATGCAAGAGGCCCTGGGTTCAATCCCCACTACTTCCATTAAAAAAAAAAAAGGAAAGAACCTACTGTATAGCACAGGGAACTATATTCAGTTTCTTGTAATAACATATAATGGAAAAGAATCTGAAAAGAAAAAATATATATGTCTGTATATGTGTAACTGAATCACTTTGCTGTACACCTGAAACTAACATTGTAAATCAACTACACTTCAATAATTTTTTTAAAAAAAGGAAATAAAACTTTAAAAAGAAGAAAAGAAAGAGTCCTAGAGACACAAATTCCAGGACAAATTCTACTCTCAGCTTGCTAAGTACCTTCAGGCAACTTCTCATATCTTTGAGCTCAGTCTCCTAATCTATAAAAGGGGAAAACAGAGTGGGCGGGTCCTTTAGGATCTTTTTATCTTCAGCAACCTGTGACTCTAAGATTACTGCTGTTTTAATATCCCTCCTCCCTCCCACTCTTCCTTCTTCCTCCCTCCTTCCTTCATTTCTTCCTTCTCTTCTTCTCACCTGCAAGTATTTATTATGACCTGTCTGAGCCTGGGGATATGTGTGGATAGGCCATGTCACCACTATCCTATCACAACTTTGGCATGTGACTTCTAGGACCAGCATATTGATTCAAAGGCAGCCAATCCGTAGGCTGCTCAGTGACATCAGCTCTCAGAGCTGAGCTGGTTAGATTGCTGTTTGGAGACAAGTAAAACATAGAGGACAGGAACATGGGCACAGGAGCCAGATTGCCCAGCTCTAACTTTTAGCTCCACTGCTTACTGGTTATGTAAAACCTGGGCAAGTTACTTCATCTTTACAGTGCCTCAGTTTCCTAAGCTGTCAAATGGAGAAAAAAAATACAACCCATCACTTAGGGTTGTTGTGAATTTTAAATTAGCTTATTCAGGTAAATTACTTAGAACAATGCAGAGCATATAATAAGTACCCAAGGAATATTAGCTATTCACACTCCATTATTATTATTATTATCAAGCATTAGTTTTATGAATTCAAAATTGAGAAATGTAGAGAAACAAAATTGGTTATCAGTAGAGGGGGAAATGAAAAGTGTCATGAAATAAGGCTGAGTCATGGCAAACCAATGTTGCATGCATACCACAAGTTGTGTATATTCAGTAATAGAGTTTCAAAGTATAGTATGGCAACCAGTTGAGCATTCCTTTAACCTATTTGGAGAGTTGAGAAGCTGGTGTAGTCAAGGAGGGCTTCCTGGAGAGGGTGATGCCAGGGTGGCATCAGGGTTGTGATGCATCAGGGTTGCACTGGTAGGAGGGTGTGTGGAAGGAGTCAGAAGGGATGGCAAAAGCAGAAATCCAAGGCCAGAAAACAACATGGGGTACACACAGAAGGGCAGGCCGACCTGCTGGGCTGCTAAGGGTTAGGAGGGCAACACATGGCCAGAACAGGTTTGAGGATTAGGGTGGAACTTCATTCAGCAAGTATTTACCGAGCACTCATCATGAGCCAGGCACCATCGGGGAATGTAAGCACTGTGAGCGATAGTGGCAAGGTTCATACTCTCTTGAAGCTTGCATTTCAGTGGGGAAGGCAAACTTCAATAGGTAAGAAGAAAAATACCAAGTTTTAAATAGAACTAAAAGCTCTGAAGTAAAAGAAAGCAGGATGAGGGAATAGAGAGTGATGTGGGAAGGTGGGGAGGGGCTATTGTAGACAGTTAGCCAGAAGAGGAGATGACATTTGAGCAGAGACCTGAATAAAGATGACGGGGCGGGGTTGGGCAGGCTGCCGGAAGCTTCTCAAAGTAGATTTAAATGAAAGATTGTTTAGGCCTGAAATAGGGCAGGGTGGTTGATGCAAAGGTGAGGAAACAGAGTAACTGAGTTCTTCAACATTAATGAAATAAACTCGCCAGGACTTAGCATTTGTATAGCTGTAGGGGGCATGAGAAAAAGGAAGGACTGGAGAAGCAACCCCCAGGTTTCTAACTTCGGTAGCAAGGAACGTGGTGGGGTCACAAACTAAGACACAGAATGCAGGAGGAAAAGCGGGTTGGGGATGAAAGATGACGAGCTGTCTTTCAAGGCAGTGGGGTCCTAGTAGCGTCGCTTGGATGGCGATTTCCCCATCGGGGGAACCTGGAGCTGGAGCAGAGGCCTGGGCTGGGGTTTGGACTTGGGAGTGAGTGGTACACGGGGGACCAATGAAGCCAGGTTGCCTGTTAGTCAGGCAACAAGCATGTGCCAGGCGGGGTGGTGAGACCTGAAGGTGCTTCCCTTTTAATAGGTCATGAAAAAAATCTCCGAACAAGTAAAACAATTTCAAGTACTGATGAGAGGCTATGAAAAAGAATAAGGCCACGGCGTCAAGAGTCTTGGAGGGGAGAAGGGAGTGGTGGCAGAGGTGGCTTTAGCTATGGCGGCCGAGAGTGTCCTCTGTGAGGACACAACGTGTGAAGTGAAAGCTGAGGAAGAAGGACCCTGCCCTGAGGAAATCTGGATAAAGACCCTTTGAAGCAAAACAAATGATAAAGGGCCTCAAATGGGAGTGGATTTGGTGTGCCTGAAGGACAGGTGAATGGTCAGAGTGGCTGGAAGAGAGAGAGAGAGGCGGGCTAGACATGAGAGAGGTCAGGGAGGAGCACATGGGGAGGAGACCGGGTTTCATCCTGAGGGACCGTGTAGGGGAGAAGAGCAGAAGGCTGAGGAAAGATGCCGGGAAAACACCAGCCTGAAGGACAAAGGGAATGCAGTCACAGAACCAGGAGAGTCTAGACTTTTGAGGCACAAGTGGTAAATCCTTCAGCAGCGATGAACATATCACTTTTATGTTTGTAACACAGAATGGATCCTATTTTGCAAAGGACCGAGCAAAAGGATCATTCAACTCCCCCCACAGCCCATTCGTAAGCTAAAGGCCCAGGAAGCCTGTGTGTCCTGCCTCAGTTTCTTTAGTTTCCTCTTCCAACATCACAGCCTTTGTTTTCATGGCGACGTTTAGATCACCCTGGCCATAGGACTGTTTTAAGATAGCTACAGAAAAAAGTTCAGCTTTGCATGCCTTCATGGTGCGGACAAGAAAACGAAAATGCACAGAGGCTAAAAGGCTTTTCCATGTCAATACGGGCCTAAGCTAAAGATAGCATCCCTGCCTCTTTATTCCAAGGTTACTTTTCATTTGGCATCTGGCTCAAGCCTCTGTTTGGAGAAAGCTATCATTAGCAGTTTTATGATTGTCAAACCACAGTGATGGATTGGAACCATAACCACCTCTCGTTACCCACAGGCATGACACTTCGCTTGGACGTCTGGGATGGATGGAAGGAATTTCTGATGGGTTGTCTCCTTGGACAAAAACTAAAAGTCCAACGCTACTTACCAAACGAAGGACCAGTACTCAAGTATGGAGATAAAGCAAATGCTAAATGAATTAAAGTAATTTTTACTAAACTTTCCAAGGAGCTTGAATTTGCAGTTCATGCTACAGCTGGGGTGCTGTTCCACAGAAGTTCCCCTTAGACATTGCTATTGAGATATTTGCTGCAGTAAGACAGCAGGGATGCCACCACGGCAGACAGCTTTTGGTGATGGATTGTAATTCAGGTAGACTTTCCTCAGGAAACACTAACTGTCTAAATGGGTGACTTCAGTTTGATTTGGATATTAGACTTTTAATAGCACTTTTTAAAAAGCCATCAGAATAAGTGCCTTGCCATTCTCATATTTAATTATTTTAAAAACCATTACTGCTAACTGATTGGCTGAAAACATTGGCTGCGTCTTCCTATGCTATCCTGTAACTTTGCAAATTGCATTTAATACAAACATTCATACTTTTGCCATACATGGAGTGTAACTTGTGTGGCTGGGGCAGTGGAGGAGGGTAGGCTCAGAGAAGCAGGTGGACATTTAAACGTATCTCTGCAGTCAGCAGTTTCCCAACTGTGTAAGTGGCATTGCCTTTTTAATTCAGTGGTATTTTAGAACAGTGCCACCTTGTGGCGATTTAATCACACTTTACCGAAGCCCACACACTAACCAGGAGCTCCCAGGGCTCTGTGAAGTGACAGACTGGAAAATCAGCTTTTGCAATTTTATAAGATATTCAATTATTTTAAATAAATTTCTATTTGGGGATAGTTATAGTTCTCTCTTTTCATGCTCTGAATCCAAAGAAATAGCTGTTGCATTGTTACTTTTAATAGTGCATATTTATTGAGTACTTTGTAGCAGACATTGTATTATATCTATTAACTAATACTTATAACACTTTGATGAGGTAGATACTACTTTATCTTGTTTAACAAGTAAGGAAACTGATATTAGGATATCAGCCCAATGTCACACAGCTAGCAAGGGCACAAATAGGTTTTGGATCCTGACAGTTTTAACTCTAGTGCTCATGCACATAACCATCTCCACTTAACCTTTAAATAAAATCTAAGAGCTCAGAGAATATAAGTGATCAGAATGAAAAGCTCCTTTTATTCTTTCATTCAATCAACAAATATCTATTTAGCACATACTATGTATTATGCAAGCAATAAACAAGACATGGCCCCTGCCTTCAGCAAGCTTATAGTCCCGTGGGGAAACAGAAAACAAGGAACCAATTCCTGAAGAAGCAGAAGTGCAAAATGTTTGGGAGGACAAACTCCAGTGCCCATCTGCCTAGTTGAACCCCACTCTCAGTGTTTAGCTGTGTAAACCTAAGCAAGTAGTCATCCCTATAAAACAGAAATAATAATAGTACCTATCTCATAGAATGAGTTTAGAGATTGAATGACCTAATAAAATAAGGAACTTAGAGGGCCGCCTGGCACATGGTAAGCAGGATGTAAATGTCAGGTGTCGTTGCCGTTACCAGTCAGTGTAAAAAGTGTTATGACATGGGCATAGTCCAAAATGACATGGGAATGTATAGTATGGACAACTAACTAGACTTAGGAGATCGGGAAAAGCATCCTGAGAAAGGGAATTGAGGTTGAGACCTAAAGGGTTGGTACTTGGGTAAACGGCAGAGAGAAGATAAAAATGTTCCAAAACAGATGGAGCCACATAAGGTGGAACTTACCCTGGGGGACAAGAAAATGGATTCAAGGAACTGAGAGAAGCTCTACATGGTAGATGAGGAAGAGGAAGAGGAAGCTAGTAGCCAGAGGCTGGAAAGATAAGATGAGTCCAGCTTATGCAAGCCCTGTAGGGATATGAAGGAATTTGACTTTATCTTTTAAATGTTGGGAAGACATTCAAGATAGAGAAAGGCCATGATGAGGTCTGCATTTTAGAATGTTGGCTCTGGTGGCAGTGTGAGGAACAGAAGCAGACAGAGACAGGGAGACAGAGATAATGGCAGCCTGAACTAGGCTTAAGGCAGCAGAGGTGGGGCGAAGGACAGACTGTGAGAAGATCACCTAGGAGGCAGAATCAACTAGCCTCAGCAGCAAGAGTACCTCTAGTTCCCACGACATTAAGGATGAGACCAGTTAGTCCACCCAGGAGGGGCTCTTCTCCCCAAATCAAGGAATCTTATCAAATTCAGAGATGCTGGTTTGCACTAACGAATTTCGAAAGAAATTGATACGTGAGCCAAAATACCAGTGTGGTGATGTATAACTCTAATGAGTGAATAATCTAACTGTCAGAGGGTCCTAGAAACCTGCATGTCTGGGCAGACCATCTTCCTCACACAAGGAAATTACATGAGAAACCACATAGAAGTGAGAAGATGGCGTGGTGAGCATGAAATCAGAGATGGGAGAGTTAGTTACACGCAGCAGAATTTGGATGATACTAGGCTAGCTTGCTTCTGTCTCTACAGTGGGGTCAGACAGCCCTGCCTGAGCGGATCCTGAACAACATCTGGCAGAACCCAGTCTAGCTTTGACTCCCTAAATCTTATTTCCCTGAACAGTCTTCACAAATCATTCAACCTATGCCTGATGGGGAATTGGAGGGATAGAGACAGTAGGAAGGCCAGTATGGCCGCAGGACAGCAAAAGAGAAGGGGAGCGGTGGGAACTGGGGCAGGAGTGGGGCAGAAGTGGGGCAGGAGTGGGGCAGGGTCCAGTGAGGAGAGACCTTGTAGCCCAAGGTGAGGAGTTAGAATTTCAACTGCAGTGAGAAGCTATTGGAGGGTTTGGAACAGAGCACAGGCAACCTCCAACTTAGGCAATAAAAAGATAGCTAAGCGCTGTTTGAGGAAATGGCCACGGGGGATAAGAGGAGGTGAGAGACCAGTTAGGAGACGGTGGCACTGCGGTAGTGCTGGTGGGGGGAAACCTAGTGGTTTAGATCAAAATAGCAGTGGAGACTTTGAGAAGCCAGAAAATAAGGACTGTTAGAAAAAACAAAGCAAACAAACATACAGAGCATTCAGATTTCTAAAACGTGCTGGATTTCTCCCAATACTTTCCCAGTTAATATAAAGCTTGATATTTTTCTTGCGCATTTGATATTCATAAGAAAGAAGACCTCTCCGGGAGGACGTTACAGCTCAGTGGCACAGTGCCTGCTTACGTTAAACAAACAAACAAACATAATTACACCCCAAAAAAGAAAAAAAAAGAAAAAAGAAAAAGAAAGAAAGACAACCACTCCAAGGAAACCAGTCTGAAGTGTTTACGTGTGCACAGTAGGATAATGTGCATAATAAGCAGGCCCTGTGCAGTTTAACCTATGTGCATATTACTATGTGCCTTTTCTGAAAACATTTTAGGTAAAAGTTTGGAGGAAATAAAGATTTTAACTGGAATGTTTCATGGGCATTTAGTGTAACTACATTTGCCTGTTTGCTGACTTTCTAAACACCCCGCTCTTGCTTGTTTCATTCATTCAGGTATCAGAAAAGGGTAGCCCTGTACATCGCTGCCTTTTATGGGTACGTAGAGCTCACGGAATGGGCCCTGAAGCAGGGCGTGCGGCCCAACGAGGCGGTCGGTGTGCACCCCTATCGAGCATGGTGCCACGAAGCTCTGCACGCAGATGTCTCTAAATGCCCCATTCATGCAGCCGTAGAAGCGGGCCAACTGCTGATTCTGAAGGCCTTTGTCAACTGCAGCGTTCTGTGCCTGGAATGCAAAAATGCAGCGGGGCAAACTCCCCTGGCTATTGCGTTCAAACACAAGCAGAAAGACTGTGTATTATATTTACTGAGTAAAATGTGGTCCACGGTTTCCTTTCTGAAAATCTCAGTCCCTATGAGGATTTATATTAAAATAAAACAGTGGATGCTCAGAGCTCAGAGTCACAACCTCAATAAAAGCCAGCTTTGTGGAGCAAGGGTCTTTGGGGCAAAAGTTGGAGACACTGTGATGATGGTGGATGGTTTCACCAAACCAAAAATGACCTCCAAAAGCTGGCATAAGGCTGGAAACAAGGACTCAGAAGGCACTGTGGGCAAACTACCGCCTCTCAGGGAGCAAACTGTGAGCAGGAAACCTGTCAATCTTTTAACAATTTCACAGCAGGACACAAGAGGACAAACACCTAAGTTTCCTCCTCTGGTAGACTCAAATACATTCTCGGAAATACAAAAACAACAAAAAAATCGGAAGAAAATAACCGCCACAGCTAGGAATAAAAAAAACCTTATAAAAAATACGTATCTCCCCCAAGTCCCCCTCCCTCCGGTTTCAAGAGTGGGCTACTCACACCCATCTTTTTACCATGCAACACCCAGGGCCGGCTGTCTACTCAGATCCTCCTTGGCATCTTTCTCGAAGCACAGTGGGAAGACTCCAAGGGAGAATGCCATCTACTGCTTAGCTGTGGCCAGGTAATGCTTTCTCTTTAAACAAACAAGGGCAAACCTTTAGTAGGGCAGGTCTAGGGGAAGAATGGTCCATAAAGCCCTACCATGTCAAGCAGTGTAATACAGGTTGTTCCAATGCATCAGTACCCAGCTTCAAGGACCACATCCTAGCAGTCTATCTAGGACAAAATGAACTGATTTTATTGGCCATTCCGTGTAGTACTCTGCTCAAATTTTCAGGGAGAAAAGAGTTGCATCAATTAACAAGGTCCCTTACTGCTGCTGCTTTTTTTTTTCTTTTTTCTTTCTTCCTTTTTTAACTAAAAGAAATTGTTAATTATAATTAAAAGGAGAAGGGGGATACTTGAAATCTGGGAGAGAGACATCAAAAATGTCATGGAGGCCTGGATGGTAATGGAAACAGAAGGAAAGAAAAGAACAATTTAATGACAAAGGGAATCATAAAGAATTCAGTTCACTTATTGGACAAGATATACAGGCAGTGGGAGACCCATACTGGGTAGGGTAATAGAACTGATGTTAATATTTAAGTTTAAAAAGCAATCCATCGTAATGTTTAAAGACATAACAAGTTTGTCAGAAGTAGACTTTTCAGGCACATTCATTTCATAAGATAAATTTTTATATATTGGTCATCAGATTTGATTGAAAACACAACTCTGGTTAGTTCTTAGGTCTATCCACTATTTATGAGATATTATTGGGTGCCAATATTACAGTGGAAATATAGGTTTATGGCTTCCCCCCTTACTCAATATAATGAGAAGAAAAGAAGGAATAAGGCTAGATTGTGTTAGTTGCCCTTCTGAATTATCTTTTTTCAGCTCTACTTTTCAGTTAGGTTGTTGCCACCTAGTGGTGGGAATAATTTGAGCTATTTAAACTGGCAAAATTCAGCCTCTAGCACCACGACGTTGAGAATAAAGAAAATGTTTAACAACTTCAATCTTCGTAATCAGTGAGGTATTTATGACTAGAATGTATGAAAAGAGATAATCTAAAACTGTGGGGAAAGACCAGAAAATAATTAATTGAAAATTATATAACCCATCTTAAAATCAGGTTGTAAACATAAGAAAGGAAATACTGATTAGTTTTATCAACAGATGCACATTAAAATGAGTTTATTTTTCAAACATCCAAAAGTGTTTATTATTGCCCAGTACAGGGCTACGCAGAATTGAAATGTGCAAAAGCATCTGTGGTTAAGGTGAGCAGCATGTATATAGTTTTGGGTGAAAGACTGCCGATGTCTATTGTGTGTAGTGCTTTTTGGGGAGAAGTTGAGTTGTGAAATATATAGTTAAATGCATAAGGAATGCTAATGTCCTATGTATGGCTTTTTGAATTTTAAATTTGCATACATCCATGTTATCACCACTCAGATCAGATGCAAAATACTTCTAGCAACCCCCAAAGTTCCTTCATGCCCTTTGCCAGACAGTAACTCCTCCCAGATATAACCATTATTCTGATCTCTATCAGTGAGCTTAGTTTTGCCTGTTCTTGACTTTTGCAAGTATCTTGACTTTTGTTAGGTATCTTTCATGTCTGGCTTTTTGCTCAATGCATTGACTATGAGATTCATTCATGCTTTTGTGTGTATTGATCCTTCTTATTTCTGTGTATTATCCATTCCTATGTAGTATTCTATATCTTAATGTATTTATCAATTCTCCTATTGATGGGCCTTTGCATTATTTCTAATTTGGGGCTATTTTGAATAAAATTATATGATTATTCTTGTATTTGAGGTTTGATGGACATTTGCATTCATTTCACTTGACTCTGGAATGGAATTGCTAGGTCAAGGATTAGCTTCAGTAAACACTTCCAAATAGCTTTCCCAAGCCGTTATACTAGCCTGCTGTTCTCTAGGTATATTTCATAAGGATTGGATTTATCAAGGGGAAGCAATTTCCAGGTTGAGAGGGGAGCCGCTGGGTAACTTTCTCATTCAAGAAAGAGGTTGGTGCAGAAGGGAGGCTCATAGAAGGGGCAGGGGTCAGTCTGTACACTCCTTCTGGCAGGTACTCCTAGCAAATCTTCTTTCCCAATTCTTCCTCTTTTACCAACATTTTTCTCCTCCCTCTATTTGCACACTCTACTGCTTTCCCATCTGTTTTCTCTCCTTCCCACAGCATCTTTCCCAGGATTTGGCCATGTCCCTCTGTCGGTGGGCTGTGGAGGGGATGGGGGGACCTGGAGGCGTCATGTCCCTGCACAGCTCTTTCTAGTCTGGCTCATGTCCCCTCATAGGAGTCATGAAAGCACCCATGTCCACCTGAAGTTGCCCTTCAAGTCAGGCAGCCAGGTGGTCTGAGCACTTACCACTAAAAGACCAGTACAACTCTTGTGCCAAAAAGACACCAACGTGAGGAGAGGACATGCACTAGCTTAATGATGGGTCTACCATCATCAAGCTAGTATCTTAGCCAGGCGATGGGGAAGAATCTAATTAATCCTTCAAGATGATAACCCAGGGAAACTGGGTCAGAGTGGGTCCATCAGATATTCCTAATTGTGAGGGAAGGGTAATCTCCCAAATGGAGGACCAGACATCCCCTCTGGCATCACATGAGAGCACCTTCTGGACCACATATCACTCAGGAACTCCACCTTTAGATTCATGAAAATATCCCTCTGAGGGTTGACTCAAAGAGAGTATATTGCTGCAGTTAGCTCAGATCAAGTATAATGTGGGTTTGGGTTGGTGAGTGCATGTGGCTGGTGCAGAGATGTCAATGACTAAGGCCAGACTGAATCTCATTCCTCAGAAGATAGTGTAAGCTTTATACAGGTCAAAGAATATTTCCAAGGTGTATCCAGAAAACTGTCTCCTTTATTGCTTATTGTCTGATTCCAGTGAGGTTTATGTAATTTAGAAGTCAGCTGAGTGAAGATTCAAATGTGGAATACTGGTCAAGAAGGCTGAGAGTTCTGAGTGAACTGAGAAGAGATGGCAGTCCCCAATGGTGCCTCTGATGGGCTCTTGTGCTCCTGATAAAAGCAGAGCTCTCTGTGTTATTTTGTTTTGTTTTGTTTTGATAAAAAGTACCAGGGATGGGGCAGGGGACTCTTGCCACAAGTTTACACCACTGTGGTTGATAAGGGTGCTTGCATCAGCCTTAGGAAGTGAATACAGGGAATAAATAAAACTGCTTGGCTTGGTTATATCATTAAACCCCACTTGTGATGTAGGAGTAACTCTCCCCAAACTCCTCTTGATAAGGGGTCTATTTGTCGGGGACTGTCAGAGCAAGGGAGCGTTTGAGGGGGGAAGAAAACAAATCAGAAGGTGCAGCAGAAATCTGTTTGGAATAATCTACAAAATGTGATCACTAATTGGGCATAGAAGTGGATAGAGAAGAGGGAATGAGTTTTGTTTCCGGCTTTGGAGATGATGAAGATAGCAAAGTAACCATGTAGAGCAAGGATGTTGAAGGGGACAAGTTTAGGAAGAAGATAAAAGACACAAAAATTGGAAGCATCGGTGGGATTTCCAGTTATCAAATGATTTTAATTTGATAATTAGAGATATGCATCTTTTAAGAAAGGTTGGGATTTGGGAGTCCTGAATAGGAGAGTTCAAGCAATTAGTAAATACAGCCTCCCAGGATGAGGGTACAGACACAGAGGAAGGCAAAAGGATAGAATTGTGGAGGACCCCAACATTCAAGGAAATGTAAAACCCCTCTGTAGAAAATTACATTTGCATCTTACAAAGTAGGAGTAATTGCATTCAAATTTAGGTTTTTATTAGTATACAGCCAGAGAATAACTATCACAAAACATTGTTTCATTGCATTTTAGTTAAAGTCTATCAAAATATCTAGTATCTTGTCCATGAAGAAAAGTGTGTTTTTGGTGGGGAACAAGGAGGAGACGGAGAAGAGGTCAGGGACTATATGATGTATAGGGATGTTTGAGGGGGGACAGATTAAAAAAAGAGTTTCAAACCAGAGAATTCTATGACACTGAGTGGCTTTCTGTTTCTAGTTGTGGGTGCTATATTTCTAGTCTTGCCTTGGGAAAATATCATCCCCTCTGCTTCAAAAAGAAGAGTGTTTTAGAAAGATTCCTTTTTCCTATTTTACAGCCTAACTCATATAACAAGATAAACTAGCCACAGCTATAAAATCAACCTTAAGATTTCCATCATTTCAACTATAAATGGAGACAAAATTGGACCTCCTTATAAATTATGTCTTTTCTCTTGCAGTGCCTTTAAAGAGAAACGATGGCTTCAGCAGTTAAGAATAGCAACAGCCCTAGCCAAAAACAGTATTTCTCACCTGACTACCCAAGGAGGCCTGATGTCATGTGAAAATCCTCCGGAAATTGTGCTTTGAAAAGTCATGGCAACCTCAGTTTGGGCGAAGACTTGGTCAAATAAAACCTCTAGTTCTAATGCTAATATTTCTAATAAAAGCTCTAATGCTGGAATTTCTAATAACAATTCTAATACTACAACAGAATATTTAATATTTAATACCATGTTTTCTTGGACTCTACCACCCTAAGTGAAAATTTAGGGCATTTGTTTTTGTTTTGCTTTCCTGGGATTTGTTTTAAAATGCTGTTTGTTTTTCAAACCATGTGAATGTAGTACATAGTAAAAAATTAATTTAAAAATTCTGTATGGAGAAAGTTCTTAGGAAACTTACAAATATCATCTAAGTCTAGTACTGGTCTCAGACATCTTTTGAATTTCTTCTCAAACATTGCTTTCTATTTTTTTTTTAAATTGAGGTAGAGTTTACATACAGTGAATTGCAAAGATCTTAAACATAAGATTCAATGGCTTTGAATGTATACATCCATGTAACTAATATTCTGGTCAGGATGTCAACACTTCCATTAGCCCAGAAAGTTCCTTCAAGCTTCTATCTAAGTCTATCCTAATCCCTGTAAGCAAACACTATTCTGATCTTTTAACTCCATGCATAACATTTCCCAATCAAAGGAATCACGCAGTTGTTCACTTTTGTATCTGGGTTATTTTGCTCAACTTAATCTTTTGAGATTAATCTACATTGTTGCATGTATTAGTAGTACATTCTTTTCTTTCCTTTTTTCTCTATGTAGTAATATCCCTTTTTTCATTCCTGATACTAGTATCTTTTGCCCTCTCTATTTTTATTTTTGTCATGAATAGTCAGTATTGTAATAATTTTAACAATTTTACTAGTTTTATTCGTTTTCTACAGTGAACTTTTTTTTAATTAATTTAATTAATTATATATTTGCTTTCTAATTTGTTAATTTCTTTTTTTTTAATAGTTTCTACTTCTCTGACAAAATTCTTCATCTGTCATTTAATGTTTTGGACATTTTACTCATAGCTACTTTACAGTCCAGGTCTAATAATGCTAATATCTGTACTTCCTCCATACAGATCGTCCTTAGATCTTTTTTACTATTGAGTAGTATTCCATTGTGTGGACACACCATAGTTCATCTATTCAAATGTATGTACATTTGGGTTGTCTCCAGTTTTGTGATATTGTGAATAAAATTTCCTTAAACATTATTATAAATGTCTTTTTCTGGACATATGCTTTCATTTCTTTTGTGCAAACACCTAGGGATAGTTAGATAATAGGGTAAATGTATATTTAACATTATAAAAAATTGACTAACAGTTCTCCAAAGTGGTATTACAATTTTATACTTACGCCAAAGATATGCAAGTGTTCTGGTTGCTTTACATAATCACCAAAATTTGGTGTCTTTAGTACATTTGATTTTTAGTTATTCTAATGGGTTTGAAGTGATATCTCATTGTGGTTTTAATTTGCATTTCCTTGATGACTAGTAATTTTGAATGCTTTTTTGTGTGCATATTGGCCATTTGTACATTCTCTCTGGTGAAGTGTCAATTCAAGTCTTTTGCCCATTGAAAAAATTGTGTTGTTTATCTTTTAATTATTAGTTTATTAGAGATTTTTATATACTCATGATACAAGTTATTTGTCAAATATGTGTATTGCAAATATTTTTTCCCAGTCTATGGCTCTCTTTTTCATTTTATTATTGGTGTCTTTTGATGAATGAAAGTTTTAAACTTTGATGAAGTAAAACTTTTCATCTTTTTCTTTTATGATTCATGCTTTCTGCTTCTTCTCTAAGAAATCTCTGACTACCCCAAAGTTGTGAAAATATTCTCATATGTTTTCTTCTAGATGTTTCACAGTTTTAGTTCTTATGTTAGGTCTATAATTTCTCCTGAATTATTTTTGTGTATGTGATAGGAGTTGAGAGTCAAAATTCTTTTTTGTCAGTTTATCAAATTATTCTAGTACAAGTTGTTGAAAAGATTTTCCTTTCCCCCATTGAATATCTTAGCACCTTTGTCAGAAATTAATTTACAATAATATGTATAGATCTATTTTCAGACTTTGTATTCTGTTCCACTGAACTATTCACTTTTCCTTATACTAATACTGCACTGTATTAATTGTTGTAGCTTTACAGTGGGTCTTGAAATCAGGTAGTATGAATACTGCAACTTTGTTCTTCTTTCTCCTAGTTTGTTTTGGCTATTCTCAGTCCTTTGCATTTCCAAATAGATTATTAAATAAAGTTGTCATTCTCTATTTAAAAAGCCTGTTGGGATTTTGATTGGTCACAACTGACATCTTAATAATAATAAATCTTGTAATCCATGATATATTTCTCAATCCATGGTATATATCCCCATGTATGTAAGTCTTTCTTGGTTCCTCTCATCAATGTCTTTTAGATTTTAGTGTAGAGGTATTACAAGTCACTTGTCAAATGTTTTCTTAAATATTTTACATTTTTGATGCTATTTGCTAGAAAGATTTTAAAGACAGATTCTGTTACAATAGTCAGAGGCACCTAAAATCTAAAGCTCATTAAAAAATATCTTTAGATTTCTAGTTTGATACAATGGGGTTGGAGCACATAGAAGGTTAATGCAAAAGAAACTACAAAGATGATGCTAACGAGATGTTGTAAGGTGGCATGTATATAGGATCAGGTCATTGTAGAGCTGGTAAGAGAGGACAGTGCTGGAAGAGGGCACAGCAGAGATTTTGTGGCACTGGTAATTTTCTCTTTCTTGATCTGGGTTAATAGGTGTGTTCAATTTGAGAAAATTCAATAGATTTTTTTTTAAAATCTGTACCATTTTCTTATATGCATTTTATAACCCAATTGAAAAAGTTAACTAAAATAATGAAAAAAAAATCTCAGGAGCTAATTCTTGCATTTGGTGCCAGCCTCAGACTCAGGAGAAGGCAGTTCACGTGAGTGATGGATGTCACCATGCCACCTTCCCCTTGACAGTATGCTGAACTGAACTGCACTTCCTTGCAGGGATGATACTATTTCACATATCATTGAGACACAACCAAAGAAATGCTTAGTGCAAAAGAACCAAGAAAAAAGGAAGGAAGGAAGGAAGGAAGGAAGGAAGGAAGGAAGGAAGGGAGGAAGGAAGGAAAGCAGGCAGGCTTGGTACAAAGATTCTGGGGCTGGAATGCCAAAGGAGAAAGGAATGTGGGAAATGTGAGGGGAAAGGAAGGTGGATGAGGCAGAGGATGATGAGGAGAGACTGTGAGAGGACAACAGATATGAAGCTTTATTCCCTGCCAGGATTACCTGAAAAAATACAGAGTATTTATTCCTTCTTCATTTTAGCCCTAGAAATAAGATAGCATGAAGTGACTTTAAAATCTTATATTCTTACAGTAATATATAGTTGTAAAGCATTAATATTGGCATAGACAGGATATTGTGTTCTAAGCCTGAATCTTATTGAAATCAAAGTTAGCTGTCACCTTCTCTTTGCTTCCAGGTCACGTTGTTCATTTCTCATGGATTACAACTCATCACACTGTACTGAAATTACTTAACTGTCTCCTTCATTTTACTGTCATCTCCTAGAGGGCAAGGACAATTTTTCATTCTTCTCCAAATTGCCAAGGCATAGCATATGCTTGAACCTTTGAGTAACTGCTCTATAAATATTCGTTGAATTAAATGAATGAATTTTAGGATGATCATGCACACAGAATTCTCAATGATTTGTGCACATAAAACCTGCTCCTAGAAAATATAAATGTTTCTGTTTACAAATCATTCAATTGCTTAATGATAGTTTATTGTTTAATCTAACTATCATAATCAGTTTCTTAATAGGAATTTACTAATTCATCTGAGTATCATAGCAGCTCTGCATGGCACAGAAGGACAGTTATAATTAAAATATCCGTTTTACAAATGAAGAGGCTAAGTTTATAACATTTAAAAACAACTTGTTGGAGGCCCTACAGGTAGTAAGTGTCAGAGCCAGATCTGGAATCTAGGCTTTTGATTTTTCACTCAGGTAATTACCTCTAAACAACTACATGACATTTGGTAACAGAAAGTCACCCTATACAAGGGAGTTTTAACTCCCAGTCTGGTTTCCCCCAGTTATAACTTGGCTTTTTGACCACCCTTCCTTGACCATTCCATTCTATTTCTCCCTATTCCCTACCTTCACTGCCCCGCGCCCCTTCAGGCCCTGAGATCACAGGGGAGAAATGCTGTATCAGATTGGCATAATATTGTACCTATTTGTAAATTCATTTCAGCATTCCTTATTCCCTATATAGTGGACATTTTCTCAATAATGTATGAATAAAAACTTCTTCAGAAAATGCCATTTTTGTTGATCTGCAACTTATAGTCTAAGCAAAAATTGTGCTCTCTCTGCAAATGCTGCTTCAAGACCTAGCTAACAAGTTAAAGGACTTGTGCTCTTCTGTGTCCCAGTGGCTATTTCAATTTCAGTCAGATGTGAGGGATGAGGTCGACACAGAGAGCAGAGCTGAAAAACTCTTTCAATTTTCACTTGGAGACTTGGAGCATAGAAAGTTGTCTCGATCCCTACATATAACAATAGATGTGAAGTCTTTCTCTGCCTCTCTCTCTTTCACCGCACCCCTCCTCCTCCACCATGAATGTAAGATTTGAAGAGTCGTATTCCTATCAATCAGCAATTCTGTAGTCTCTCATATTTGAACCAGAGAAGGTAAGAAGAGCATGTTGAAAAGGAACCAAATTCTCAAACTGCTCTCAACACATAAAAATAAAGACATTGTTCTGAACCCTGCAAGCATCGGTCATTGTCATCTTCATCATCATCTTTATCCTAATTTATAATCACTCACAGAACTTGTTACAAATCTTCAGCTTTCAGCCTGCTGTGTAGAATGATGGGTTTTGGAGCAGATGATCAAGGGATGACCTTCCTCTTCCAGCTCTGTCACTGGCTTGTAACGTAATCTTTGGAGCTTCGATTCTTCATCTGTACAAACGATGACCCACGCTGTTCAAACGACCCGTATCTGTACGAACGATGTCATGGCAGTTGAGCGCATTAAATGAGATAAATCAAGTAAGACAGCATATAGAAAAGCTCTGTGCAAGCTAACAGCTCTATAAAAGTTACTTTCAGTTGCTTAACCTCTCAGTTTCCTTATCTCTAATGGTAACAATAACGGTACTTACCTCACAGGGTTCTTGTGAATAAATTAATATATTAAATACAAGAACCGTTCCTGGCATAGTGCTTAACACAGTTAGCTATTTATATTATTAATGTAAGCGCCACAAACGGGCGTGTCGATATTTAAATTTTTCATCTTCCACAGAGCATAGCGTCTTACGCCCACATCTGACTTGCGAACTCAATCTTCTGACCCCAGCATGCACCGCGGAACGCGTTTGAGTGAGGACGGCGGTAGGCCGGAACCGAAAGCTTGGGACTCTGAGGCGCCGGATCCTCTTTACGCTTGGACACAGGCCCCGGAAGTGGTGAGGGCGGGGTCAGCGCTGCCGGGTGAGATCAGCGGCCCAGCAAAGATGCTGCTGGACCTGTCGGAGGAGCATAAGGAGCACCTAGCCTTCCTGCCGCAAGTGGACAGCGCGGGTCAGGGGCCGCGGCGGCGGAGGGTGGTGGTCTGCGGTCTGGGGAGGGGGTCGGAGGAGCGCTTGGCGCTCATGGTCTCCTGGCTTCCGTTGCAGTGGTCGCCGAGTTTGGGCGAATTGCGGTGGAGTTCCTGAGACGAGGCTCGAACCCCAAGATCTACGAAGGCGCTGCCAGTAAGATGGGGAGAGGCGCAGCCCCGCCAGCTGCGTGGGGAAGGGCGGGCCATTCTCTGTCGTCCTGTAAAGGGTTATTGCGATTCTAAGGGTCTTACTCGCATTGTGGCAGAATAAAACCAGAAGCGCTCTTCAGTCAGGGCGTAAATCCTGCTGTCCCCTAAGTATTGTGAGTTTTTTAAAGCTTGTTTTAAGTTGATTTTCCCACGTGTATCATCTGCCAGAGATATGATGCTTAAATGCACCCAAGTGTGTAGAATAGATGGGTGAACCATAAATATGCAAGTGTTTAGTTATTAGTTCAGACTAATGTACTTTTGCTTAGGTATTTTACCCCCCGGACGGACGAGGGGTGGTTTTTGACATTGACCTTTCTGCCAGGCTTGAAGCAGCTGCCCTCTCAAAGAAGAACTGTACCCCTGATATTGTCTCCAGGGGTCTGCATTTTGTAGAAAAGGTTATGTGGTGGGAAATACTGAAGGCATTTGGCTGCGAGTGGAGAATGAACAAGAGGCTGTTACCAACTCATTAGTTTTTATTGCAATGTTTGAAAACATGGAATAATGGGTAATATTTATTCTTAAGAGTTTGAATAAAAGAAAAAATGCCATATAATTTATTTGCTCATTTTCCCTCTTTTTCAGGAAAACTCAGTGTGAGTAGTGACACAGTCCAACATGGTGTGGAAGGATTAATATACCTTCTCACTGAAAGCTCAAAGCTCATGGTAAGGGCTTTTGTGGACTGTTTTGTATTATTGGGACCGTATAAATGTTCAGTATACTCTACATCAGTCCAGGCAGGATTTGCTTATTTCAATAATGTTATTATTGGATTATAATTGGTTTAGGGAAGCCCTGCCTAAACAATTTGACTATAATGTGATGCTGGTGTGAATACCTCTTATTAGGATAAATTAGAATTGCCTCTAATTCTGCATGTTATTTAAGCATCTACTAGTATGTATCCTAAGAGGAGGGAGAATGAAATGATTTAATTTCTGTATATTAGCAGTATCTGGCTTGTTGGAGAATAGGAGAGAAAACTGGGCATTTTTGCAATTCTTTTTATACTTTAATAAATATTTTTTCCTCTTTTTTAAGTTATGATTTTCCCCTTAATATTAGCTGAGGGATCTTTTACCAGTCTTTGTTTCTGTATGCTCTTGATAGAAAAAAATGTTTGAAAAATTACAACTGGCTACATGGGTGGACTTAATTTACATATTATCCCTTCTAGTATTTATTTCTCAAACTTGCCTTTTTGTGAGAGTCACATGTGACCCTTGTTAACATTCCTGATTCCTAACTCAAACCTATTGAATCAGGCTTTCCAGGGGAGGGGCTTGAGAATTAATATTTTTTGAAGGTGCTTCAGATGATTCTTAAGATCAGGTAAATTTGAGAAACTACACTAGATTCTCATCATTTTGATAGCGAATTCTAAGTCTGGAAGTGATAAAAGATGCAGTGTGGCTTACCTGAGTTATGACATTTTCACCCTAAAAATTAGATTGAGTGGTTATGAACAACTGCATAAAAATATTTTTTATAGATCCCTTTTGTCAGGCTTCCTAAAATGTTACACATACAGGTGGTCCATAAGAAATGCCTTGTCCCATAAATCCATGTTCCATTAATTGATATGAGGAACTCATTTTTTGCGGCCCTAAGTGATCCTTTCTGACCCTATCCAGAGCTTTCGAAGCAGCTCTCCTCCTGAGAATGGATCTCTAACTTCCTGTTCTTCAGTTGAATCCTCTGGTAGACCATTTGGCGTGATTGGTCAGCTAACCTAACCTGCCTGGCCCCAAGGACTATAAGCTCCTCCATGAAGGCAATGAGCCCATTTGTTTTGTTCAGCTCTGTCGTCTTAGCACAGTACCTATCTGATAAGAGGATCTCAGAAAATATTTGTTGAAGGGATAAAATCCCCAAGCCTATGCTATTATAAACAAGCCACAAAGATGACCTTCATTGTCTGATCTCACGTGGTAGCACAGAAACAAGTCTAAGGACATTAACAAACTTGAAAGAAAAAAAAAGGGTGGTGTGCAGAAATTGGAAAAGAGCAAGGGAAGTAGAGTGTTAAAGTGGCTGAGGTGAATACAATGAAAGGGAGAGGAACGAAGAGAAAGACTATACTTTCTCTACCTTTTTATCCCCTCCCCACTTCAGTCATCCAACAAGAAAGTAAAAGCAAGGCTGCTGTTGGCAGCTTCCTTTTAACCAAACAAGGGTCAGTGCTATGTTAGGACTGCTTGGTTCCCAATAACACCGTCCCATTGGATAGCCAAAAACTGTCCCCTTGCCCTTCTCTCCCACTTCATTTCCTGGCCAAATATATGATTTCTCTATGTCCATACAGCATCTGAGTATCCCACTAGGATTCACCCAAACCAGAAGTCCTCATTCTCTCACTAAGGCTTTGTTTTTTTCAAACCTTTTGACCCCGTTTGCCTATTTCTGCCACCTCCTACCCGCTGCTTCTGGCAACCACCTGTCTGTTCTGTTTCCATGAGTTTGGTGGTTTTGTTTTTATTTTTGTTTTTAGTTGTGACACGTAAGAGAGATCATACAGTATTTGTCTTTGTCTGACTTAATTCATCTAGCATAATACCCTCAAGGCCCATCCATGTTGTTTCAAATGGCAAGATTTCATTCCTTTTTATGGCTAAGTAATATTCCATTGTGTATACCACAATTTCTGTGTCTGTTCATCTATCAGTAGATACTTTGTTTCTGTATCTTAGCCATTGAAAATAGTTCTGCAGTGACCATGGGTGTGCATGCATCTCTTCAAGTTTGTGTTTTTGTTTTCTTTGGATAAATACCCAGAAATGGAATTGCTAGATTACATGGTGGTTCTATTTTTCATTTTTGAGGAACCTCTATAGTGCTTTCCATAGTGGCTGCACCAATTTACATTCCCACCAACAGTGTACAAGAGTTCCCTCTTTTCCACATCCCTACCAACACTTGTTGTTTATTGTCTTTTTGATAATAGCCATTCCAACAGGTGTGCAGTGTTACGTCATTGTGATTTTGATTTGCATTTCCCTGATGATTAATGATGTTGAGCATCTTTTCATGTGCCTATTGGCCATCTCTATGTGTTCTTTGGATAATGTCTATTCAGATCTTCTGCCCATTATTTAATGGGATTCTTTTTTTGTTATTGTTGTTTTGCTATTGAGTGGTATGAGTTCTTTATATTTGTTGGATATTAACCCTTTATCAGATATATGATTTGCAAATATTTTCTCTCATTCAGCAGGTAGCCTTTTTATTTTGTTCGTGCTTTCCTTTGCTGTGCAGAAGCTTTTTAATTTGAAAGTAGTCCCACTTGTTTATTTCTGGATTTGTTGCTTATTTTTACTTTTATGTATCACAAATTCAGAATTTGGAATAGTGGACAAGGGTTGCCTTTAACTAAGGAGTGTTGTTTCTTTTACCAGACAAAAAAGGATTAGGGGATATCATATTTTTTTGTGTATATCAAGTATTTCAGCATTTACTAGACAAAAATAAATTTTGATGTTCCATCAAACTTGATTCACTTTTAGATTTCTGAACTGGATTTCCAAGACTCCGTCTTTGTTCTGGGATTCTCTGAAGAATTGAACAAATTGTTGCTTCAGCTTTATCTGGACAACAGAAAGGAGATCAGAACTATTCTGAGTGAATTGGCACCAGACCTTCCCAGTTACCACAGCCTTGAATGGAGACTAGATGTACAGGTGTGACTTTTCTTTTTTTCAACCTGACATAGAGTATCAGGTTTATTTTTCGTTTATGTCCTCAGACTTGTCTTTGCCACCTTAACCAAACTGTGGTTTGAAAGTTTAGTTTTTTAATGTTCATTTTTAGACCATTTCACAAATAGTTCATTTTCTTTTTTCATTTTCTTATTTTTTTAATGTATTCACTTTGATTTAATTTGTGAATTTTGTAAGAAAAAGCTTATTTTAGGAAAGGAGATAGTTATCCATATTTTTAAAGTGGTGCTTAGCTTTTTAAAAACTTTTTTGTCTAAATAAAACACATCTGTAAGAAAGTACACAGGTTAGTGTACAGCCCAGTGAATTACCATATGGTGAAAACAGCCATGAAACCAACACTTCCCTGTGACCAGTACCTGAGAGCATTCTCCTTGCCTCCTACCAATTACTTCCCTTATCCTCCTTTTCAGAGGTGGCCAGCGTCCTGACTTCTAATGCGCAGATTAGTGTTTCTGGCTCTTTAACTTTCTATATATAGAATGATTCGTAAACATTTTTCTGTGTCTGACTTCTTTTACACAACATGATTTTTGTGAGATTCAGTTGTTTTTAAAGCCACATAAATAACCAAAAGGGAGTATTCAGACTACTGCATGCAGTCCTTTATCAAGCAGTGACAGATAAGTTAATAGTGTTTATTGAATGTCATCCATTCACTGACTAGAGCTGTGCTAAACGCTTTGGGACACAAAAGAAATGTAAGACACTTTCTCAGCTGGAAATGATGTTATCTGGTTAGGGATATTAGGTGTTCTTAAAATAACTGGTAATTAAAGATAGTTATGAAATAAGGTTCTGGAGAGTAAAAAAAGAATATAATTGTATAAATGAAGGTACAACTGAGTATTTTGGAAAAGCTATAGCTCAGGTAGTTCAGTGTCCACTTGCATGATCAGAAAAGCTTCAAGAAAAGGAAGTAAAATTTCAGAAAGATGAGTGGTTAGAGAAAACCAGGGTAATATTCTTGACAGAGGAGACAGCATAAGTTGTAAAGGCCCACATGGATATGGGATTGAACAAATGAATATGTGGTATAGCACCTTAGTTCCCAAACTTGACTGCACATTGGAATGACCTGGGAGCTTTAAAAAGTTCTGATGTTATATTCTACTCCAGAGGCTCTGGTTTATCGATACGGAATTTGGCCTGGGTGTCAGGACTTTCAAAATCTCCTCTGTCACCCAGGTAGTTCTAATGTGCAGTAAAGTTTGTAAACTGCTATAATACTGGATTTGAATGGTCCATATAGGTTATAGAAGTTCAGTTAGAGGAGTTTAGCAGTTATGATCCAATGTGTTGAGTGCTTGAAAATATATATATATATAAACACAGGAGATGATATAAACCAGATTATAGGCTCCATGAGAGCAAGGAACTGTATCTTATTCACTACTGTGTCCCCAAGACAGTGCTTGACACATAATAGGCATTCAGTGCTAAATATAAATTGATGGGGAGGGGGTGGTGGCAACTTCTTAAACAAATTGTTTATCAGGTATTTCTTGTACACCTGTCATGTGCCAAGCAATGTAGATACAGCAGAAACTTGACACAGTTTATGCTCTTGGAGACCTCATAAGTGGCAAATCCTGTGGGGCTGGCAGGGAGGAGGTGATCACTATGGTTAAACCTTTTTATTTAGGCCCTTTCATAATAAGTAGGTGGAGGAGCCTAGGGGATGGTCATTTCATGAAGTTCAGCAGTCATTTATCTTGTACATCTCTTGTATGGTGATATCTCCTGACTTTTGTGGTCCAATAGCCCTTAGAGGTTCTTTTTTTGGCTTTATTGATTTGTTTTGAGTTTTTCCATTATTAAGACATTTTTAGAAGTTAGAAACTTAAGCAACTGAATTTTCTAAAATTAAACTCGAAAGCTCATTTGCCCAGTGAAATGGGTTTGAATTTCCGTGTTACTGCAAAGACTGATACAGTGTAATGCTGAGAGTATACTGAGTGAATATTGCCTCATGTGGTGAAATGCATTTAAGGGCTAAAAAAGCTACTCAGAGAACTAATTGATTTCCTGAGCTCGTTAGTTGAAATATTACAAGGGATTTTTAACTATAGTGGATTTTCTGCTGAAGGCAGGAAGACTTGTCAGATGAAGACCAGATAAGTGGCTAAGAAACTAGTAACAGACTATAGAACCTTTCATTTTTGAGTAACTGATTCATCTCATGGAGACTGGTAAGCGAATAGACAGTTACCATCGAATTATTGTGCAGTTGCTTATGGGAAATAAATTAATCATTATATTTTAGTTTCTTTTTTAATTAAAACAATTTTTTTGGTGGGAAGGTAATTAGGTATTTATTTATTTGTGATGGAGTTTCTGGGGATTGAACCCACAACCTCATGCATGCTAAGCACACACTCGATCACTGAGCTGTACCCTCCTTCCAGTAGTTTAGTTTCTAATAGAAACATTTCCCATACTTCATAAATTGCCAATGCAAGTAATGCCCTTGTTAATAGCATCAGTGAATTGAATGCATCTGAGACTGATGAGGGAGAATGTTACCTTTGAGGCTGACCCATTTAAAGTTGTTGCTGTTATTTTTACAGGGAGAAGGACAGAGTTTCATCCCCATTAAAAATAAGTCCATGTCAAGAGTTTTGTGGGCTGCTATTCTTTATCCTGTAGTAATGTGATTCAGATTTTTTTCTGAAGAGAAATTAGACCTAATTATATCTCACTAGGTATTTGTAAGGGTTGTTATATAATCTTCAGACATTTTAAAGAATGGTATAGATACTAATCTGTAAAGGTTATTAAGTTAAATATCATGTTGTCTAAAACTTAGAGGATAAATTTTGAGTGACCTTTAGTCTTTCAACAAAAAATTGATGGCTTAATTACACAGCTAGATGCATTTGGTATCTGTCAGTGCAGCTATTAAAAAAAATATAAACAGTGCATAATTGAAGAAGCAGTATTTTTAGTCATCATATTTATAGTTTGCATACCTGTCTTCTCTAGAGGCTTCTGTACTAGAGAGATGATCTTAAAAGTACTTAACAAGTACTTATTTTATGTTTGGGGACTAGCTCACCCAAAGGGATTGACCTATTATTTCCAAATTATTTTGAAACATTCCATTTCAGCCTTGGATCTGTATCTTGGGTTCTTTTGGAAGCCTAGATCACCTAGAATTAATTGGAAAAAGTTATTAGTCTGAATATTCTATGTTGTAGTACTCAAATAATCCTGAAATCTCAGCTTTAGATTCGTTATTCACCTGGGAATCTCTTCAAGTTGGCTTCTTGTCCTTCTGATGTGACTACAGTAGTTTTAAATAACAGTCTTGCTTTCTCGTGTAACAAGGTGTTTCAGGCTCATCATGTACAATTCCTGTTCCAGACCTCTGATTAGCTATTACTTCGAGGAGGTCCTGATTCCTTTTAAGAGGGAATGGTCTTTAGAGAACATGATCCGGTGCTAGAATTAAACACCATCGCTTCCAAGTTGGTTATTGTTTCTAGTGTTTTTTTTTCTTTTTAAAATTGTCAATAGTGTTTATTTTTTTATTTTGAAATATATAATACAGACAAAAGATTATAGCTTAAATAACAATAATAAAACAAGTACCCATTGCCAAGCTTAAGAAATAGAACAAAAACAGTACCTTTGAATCACTCTCCCCGAGTTACAATCCCCTTCCAGCTCCATAGGGATAACCATTATCCTGAATTTTCTATTAATCTTTTCTTTATATATATTTTTAACATAAATTTTTCCACTAAACTGTATGTTTTTAGATTTTCATGTATTCTTCCGAAGCTTGCTTTTTTGATTAAACATTTGCTTTTTAGATTTATTCATGACAACTTACTTTGCTGTAGTTCATTTCTTTTCACTGTCATTTAGTGAGCGTTTCATTGTATGAATGTTCTCAATTTATCCATTCTGTTGTTAGAGAATGTTTGAGATATGTCTAACTTTTGGCTCTTGGAAACAAGTACTGTTATGAATATGTGTATATGTGTCAGAGTTTAAGGTATACACCTAGGAGTGGAATTGCTGATTTTCCAGGATGATTCTCTCATCACTCTCAGCAGCAGTGGGTGACAGTTTTCATTACTGTCACTTTACAGTACTCCATGTAGACAGGTTTCTAATTCTTGCCAGTCTGATAAATAGTACTTTATGATTTTATTGGCCATTTTCCTGATTTCTAGTAAAGTTGGACATATTTTCCAATATTTATTTGTGTTACTTCTGCAAAATGTTTGTGTAGGTCTTCTGCACAATTTTCTCTTGGTTTTGTTGGTTTTTCTTATTAAATTAGAGCAGTTCATACATTCTTGATACTCACTTATTTTGGTTGTATATGTTACAAAATAATCTCTCAGTTTGCAGCTTTAAATTATTAAAATTTTAATAATTTTAATGTAGTTAAATTTATCGGGTTTTTCTTTATGTTTTGTATGTTTAATATCACATTTAGAAAATGCTTCCATACTGTAAGGTTACATATACATTCTAATTTCTTTTTTCTTCCCAAAATTTTAAAGTTTACTTTTCATTTTTAAGTCTGATTCATGTGAAATTTTATTTTTTATATATAGTATAATGTAATAATTATACATTATTCAGCATGCTTAATAAGTAGTTGTTATACTCTTAATTCCATTTAAAATCAAGCTTGCAAGCAGAAGCCTCAGGCAGCAGATTAAACCATCAGTGACTATAAAGCTGCACCTTAATCAGAATGGAGATCACAACACCCAAGTTCTGCAGACAGACCCAGCCACCCTGCTCCATTTGGTTCAGCAGCTGGAACAAGCATTGGAGGAGATGAAAACAAACCACTGCAGAAGAGTTGTGCGCAATATCAAGTAGTCCTAGTTTTAAGGTTTGAATCACTTGTGAATTGATAATATATAAGATACCTTTCAAAATTAATTTTTTATGAATTGATAGTGATAAATACATAGAGATTTCATAAAAATTTCTTTTCCTACATCAAGACATTGAAGTCATGATCAAAAGCTAAGCAGAGTTCCTTTCCTGGTGCTAAATGTGGTCGGCTTCTTGACAATCAAGATATATTTTATATTTTCAATGTGTGAATAGGATTGAATCAACTGGAAGTGAATCTATACTCTTCAAATCCTCTGTATGCATAAATGACTATCCTTTTTTTGATGCTTCTTTTGACTACTTACTTCATTATTTTCCTCCTTATTGACCTAAAATTGAAAATAAAATTCATAATGTAATACTATTACTATTCAGAATATTTCTAGACAGTTTAATGACCTTTAGAAGCACTCCATGATATTAATAGCCACAGAATAGTTAGAAGAGAATATGAATTTTTTTAAATGCTATATTGTTTAGGCAGTTCATGCACTTATCTTTGCATGTGAAGATAGTTAAGTACTTACCATATTGCTTAAGTTTAAGTTGTCATGGCTAATAAGCTTAAATAGTACTCAGATTTTTGTGACTGTATTGCATTTTATCAGGGACTACTTTTTTTCCCTAATACCCAAAGCATCTAAGAGACATGCTGTCATTTACATTTGTAAACAACAGATGCAGGCATAATGTAATCAATTCTTAAACATCTCAATATATATTATAGTCACTTTTCATAATTTTATTTGAATAAAGTATAAAGAGGGCACAGAGAGGCCATGTTTACTACATTCCAAGCAAATATCCCTTCTTCCTTACAAACTTAATTTTTGTTTTCTTTTGTTTTTTAGTAAGTAACTAAGCTATTAGCCTGAAAAACTCAGATTCTGATGTGTCATTTCAGCCTCTTGGAATACAGGGACACAGGGAAACTTAAGGAGACAGGGATGCTTTTAAAGAATAGCAGACTAAAGGAGAAAAATCATATGGAAGTTTGGAAATTGGGGTTCAGTCTTTTTTTTTTAAGTATGTTTTGAAATTTATTTTTCAACCATTTAAAAATAATAATATTTTTTGTTAACATTTGTTTGATACAGGTGGTGGTTTCATATAAGCCTCTTTTTTTTAGAATTTTTTATGAATTTGGAGTATTTGACAATTATAAATGAAATTATTAGGTAGAATGCCTTAAAATGCATTTTTTAAAAATTTTATTTTATTGAGTTATAGTCGAGGTTCAGTCTTAAACATCTATCCAAGGCCTTGACTCTGAGAATCTCATCCTACGGAGCAATCCATGGAGGCCTTTAGGAACATCAGACTCCAAGGTGTATTCTAGGCTCTATCGGTGCTTTGCCTTCTAAGAATTAGAGATTTCCAGGTCAAAGTGACATCGTGTTTCTTCTTTCTCTTAAGAGAGAGCCTAGCAGGAAACAGGACAGTAGAAGAAAAGCACAATTGATGTTGCCAACCATTGTCCTCTGCAGGCATCTGAGCCACCTTTTCCCATAGGTATATATGTTCTGCAGTTGCAAAATAACTGTAATATCAGATATTAGCAAACCAAAATCAGATCATTTTTAATTATAGTGATAACTTGATTAATGAAGCTTTCATATTAACAACCTCACTAACAAAAGGAAACTTTATATATTACAGGAAAGGGTTGAATATGTCATCAGCTTAAAAGCAACATGCCTGCCAAGCTTATACGATAAAAATAGCTCTGTGAGACTTCTGATTTGTCCACATTTGGTGAGAGATAAGCTGGGCTGACTCCAGCCAAGATTGAAATAATATCCCTGTGTCCTTGCAGGGCAATCTTTCTTCTACCTCTGTCTCCACTGTTCTTACCCCAAACAAAACAACAAACCTGTGTTAGTCCTTTTATTTGTATTAAACTCTCCTGGCCTTCTTTCTCCATAGTTCCATATTCTTTCTGATGTTCTGCCTTCTTCACCTCTTTGGACCAGAGTGAGTTGAGAGCAGTCTCCTAACTTCCTTTTGAACCTGGGGCTCACCTTTTTTTGAGGCCATCTAATGAGCCTCTTCCTGTTCTTATTTGAACATTCCACACCCTTGTGTGCCTTGTTTGTTTCATGGCACATTTGATTTTTCTTGTAGCTTGTATATGAAGGTACGTATTTTCTGCACATGCAGTCAGTATTCTGCTCTCCTATGGGACCAGGTTTCGTGATTCTAGGATTTGCCTTTCCATCAATAACTATCTCAGTGTTTATCAAAACATTACGGATTATGAGTATGCTGTTTTTTTAAGGATTTGCTGATGCACATTTAGACTTAGGTGCCATATCCTTTATGTCTCAAATCCAGAATAGTAACGTCTCATCTCTTAGAACAGAGCTGTGAATAAGGAATAATCAATATGTGTAATCACAAAGTCTGTATAAACTTCACCCACTGAGGATCTCCTTTGTGTTTCCCCAGATTCCGATAGGCTTGTTTTGTTACTGATGTTTCCAAACTTAGGCAAATATAAAGCAGCAAACTGGAAAGGTGGTAGGGATACCATAGGAAGAAAATATACTTCTTTGAAAACTGAAAATGAGAGCCTGATACTAAAGAAAGTTTGAAAAAAATCATAAAGATTGTGTGTAAAGAATGCATGTGTGGGAGCCGTTAAAATTTATAGCAGTATGTGGCCCTTTAAGGTATAAATGTATGAGAAAGTTAAGAGATCAGTCTTTGGAGGTGGACAGAAGTGTTTGAATTTAGGCTTTGTGGCTTCTTATGGGTCCTTGATAAATTCCCAAAGCCTTGTTTTCTTCATCTCTAAAATAAGAATAATGACACCTACCTCATTGGCTGGTAGGGACTAAATAAAACCATGTATGTAGAGTGTTTAGCATAGTGTTGGGCTTTAGAAAATACTTGTGTAGACTGAGGATCTCATTATTTTGTAGCCTTGAGTTCAGTCTAATATACTCTGTTAAAGAAACAGAGAAAATGTTACCTGATACTTTCTGGGTGGTAGGATTATAGCTGTTTCTTTTCCTTCTTAATTTCTGTAATGTGTTTGAATAACTCATAATATTAAGAAATTTTTTTGAAGTCTAAAAGAAGAAGAAAAAGATCAGGGAATTTAAATACATTAGTAGGACTTGGATTGAAAATTTTAATTCTTAGAATGATACACATATAGCTCTCCAGAAAACTCAGCTATTCAAAATGACTTAGTCCCCAAAGGACTCAGGTAGACAGACTGAGGGTTTTACCTATAGGCTTGGTCGAGAGTCTTTTTTCTGCCTTTCTCCACCAGTGAAAGAAGTATGGGAATCCGAAGACATTAGCTAAGCCAGGTCTCTTTTTCTAAGTAATATTATATCGAAATGGAGAATTATCTGTTGTTTTTTATCTCCAAAGGAAAACATAATACTTCTTTGTAGTTTTTCACAGCCTTCATGGTCAGGAAGATCTGTCAGCTGCTGCATTAAAGTCTCCCTGCTATAATTTCCTCACTCTATTTTGTACTTGTTTTTTAAAATATATGTTTAAGTCCCTCTTTAGCTTACCCTTCCACAGTTTCCATAGTAATGGGTTACTCTCATCTCTTTTCCTTTCTTTCACTATGGTAGGAAATATTTTGGTAAAAAGGATATTGTATTACATTGCCTCTAGTTTAAATGTATTCATTTTTTAAAACCACCATGACTGTTATGTTTAAACCTAAATGCTTTCCTTAAAAAAACTAAACAAGCAAGCCCAGCTTCACCATTAATGTGGTTACTTCAGTGAGCTTTACAGACTTTGAAAGCAATGTTTCAATTACAAGAACAGAAGAAGCCCGTTTTTTCTCAGCTTTGCAAAATAGTGTATTTTGTAGATGAGGAAACAACGATACACCTTATGGCACTAAAATATATATATTTAGTGATTTGATCACTGAATAGTAGTGTGGGCTCTTTGTTCTGTGTTTATACAGGTCCAGTCCTCTCTGCCCAGGAACTCAAATGACTTAATTAAGTTTGAGAGCCTGGAGTCTATAAGATTCTACTTGCCGTAATGGGGAAATAAAAGGAAAGTAATTTTATTTCCTTAGTGGGCCTAAAGGAGCATCAGGAATACAAATAATCTACATTAATATACTCTGAAACTTGGCTTCTACTCAGGTTGTTGCCATTTTAAACCCAAGTAACTTTTTATATGATAAATTTTTTATAATTATAATGTAAATTATGTGTGTTATCATTAGAAATATTGCTAATTATGTACTATCAGAGTGGGAGGCCAAGCTCTTTTATTGCACTTGAACCTAAATTGATGTTTTTTTAGTTTCAAAGACTACAATTTTCATTTTCCTCTCCTGCAGTTATCGTGTCTTCTCTTGTAGATCTTGCCCAAGATCCAGCTAAAACGAGAGGAAACATAGAAAAGAGTTTCTGGCCTTTCTCACAAACCATATGAGATTTTTTACCTCTTTTTTCCTTAATTTTTCTTGCTCTTTGCTCTTTTACTTTGACCTATAATCTACCCATTTATATGTGGCATTGTGTTGAGGAAGAACAAAGCAAATTTTAAAACCTTTTCTATCTCTTTTTTATAAAACCACTGGCTCAGTTGTGTTACATATTTATTAAATGCTTAGAGTGATCCATGTTGTGTGTGGAACAAAGGATAAAGTCCTAAAGTTTAGAGTGCTCTGAGGCCATTCCAACTTTGAAAATAATTTAATTCATAAACTCATCAGGCTGCAGAAAGGAATATCCTAAGAGGGCTGTTCTGAAGAAGGGAAATTCCTTTGGGCTGCTCTCTGTTGGAACCCCTTTTTCTTGAAACTCCATGTTCTTTTGGAAGGTAAATGGCTTGAGCTGTAGAAATGTACAGAGGAAAGGATAGATCACGACAGAACTGTGAAATACTTGGATAGGGTTTGGATGGCAGAAATTATCTTTACTCCTTTTCCATTGAAGAGGTGTTCCCTGAGGTAACCAGAGGTGTGATGGGAAAAGCAAATTGAGTTTTTTTAATACCTGCATGCCAATGTTGTGATTGTCATAAATCCAATGAGAAGTGGATGCCTGTGGTTTTGAAGGAATGTGCTTAGTTCACAGAATGAAAAGGCTTCTCAGTTAACTCAAAGGCTAAAAACACACAGATTAAAATTTAGAGAATGAGGAAAAGAAAATCCAGGGAAGTCTTTGAGTTTCACTGGAGCAAGTACAGATGGTTAGGGTATGATTTCCTGGCATACGCTGCAAACCCTGTGCTTTTATTCCAAATAAATAAAAGGTTCTTAATAAGCTCAATTGAGTTTCCAAGAGCTGCAACATAATAAAATTACTTGATTTGCAGCTAGACTGTTGCACAGTTCATAGACTAAAAGAACCAAGAAAGGCTGTAGGCAATTTTTTTAGTACCTAAAAAAATAAAATGAGCAAGTCACCATATACTTTCCAAAAAAGCGAAAATGATTTGTCTCACAATATGAGCAATGTAATTAAAACCTTTTTAAAAAATTTTAGGCTCTTAAGGGTGTAATTATTGGGTATTCTTTTCTATGCTTTTTTTGTTCCACTCTTTGCCTAGACATAAACACCAAATTCCATGCCCTTAGAACAATTTATTTTCATGCCAAACCTCTTATTAAGCCTCCTCCCTCTCTCCCTTTTAAAAATTATTTTTTAAGAAATAATTCACATAACATAAAATTCACTCTTTCAAAGTGTGCAAGTCAGTGGGTTTTAGAATATTCACAAAGTTGTGCAACTGTCACCACTACCTGATTACAGAACATTTTCATTACTCCCAAAGGATACCCATTAACAGTCACTTGCCACTTTTCTTCTCCCTCTAGCCCCTGGCAACCACTAATCTACTCTCTGTGGATTTGCCTCTTCTGGACACTTCATATAAGTAGAATTATACAATACATGGCTTTTTGTGTCTGGCTTCTTTCACTTAGCATAATGTTTTCAATGTTCACATTGTAGCACCTATCAGTACTTTATACCTTTTTGTGACTGAATAATATTCCACTCTATGCACATTACCTTGCTGTTTACAGTATTTGATCGAGCCTTATTCCTGGTCTTACTATGGAATTAATCTGTTGCATTTTATTTTATAGTGTTTGTAAGAGAACTTCTGACAGATGAGTAGTGTATTTTTACAATGATGGTTTTCTAGAATTATCTTCACAGATACAAGCTAGAAAAGTCTGAGCACTCCTTCCTAGTTAGTTATTAGTAGAGTTAGTCTCCAGTGAACTGAGCATTTTATTTCTAGCCTTATTCAAAAGTTATACCAGGTAGGGAGCTAGTTGGCTAAACTTCAAAGGACTCTGAACTGAGTCAGCTCCAAAGAAACTTAGATTCATATTATATCCTTTCTTTATTTTAATTTAAAAAATTTCCCTCTGTCCAATAAACCACTGACATCACTGTCAAAAAAAAAAGATTTCTTACTGAAATGCGGGATGTTCTATGGGCATTTTACAGATTTAGGGAGGATAGAAAAGCAACTAAGGATGATTTATGTCTTTCCATATTCATTTTGTATGTTTTTCACATTAGAAAGGTAAAACTATTAAAAATTTAGAAAAATTGTCTATAATAGAATAGAGAAGAAGGCATTTACTTTTGCTTAAATTCACTCCTCAGAATATTTCTAAATGAATTTTGAAACAGCGCACTAGGGGATCTCTAGTGCACTGTTCTCTAAATGATGCAGCTGCTGCTGCCACTGCCTTGTGGGGCTCATAAGCTAGTGGAGGAAATGAAAAGGTATGTGAATAACATTGATTCAATCACAATGTGAGTAGGCATCAGAAAAGATGCAACAAATAAGGAGCTCTAGATACATAAGAGAGGGAGTGAGCGATTCTCACTTGGGGCATCAAGAAGGCACTTTTTTTCCCCTTGATCATTATTTGTAATTATGCCCCAATTTACATTTGGAGAATAATTTCTTTCCAACTGAATACAATTTGATGGGACTGTCAAACAAGAGACCATGTACCCTCTGCTATTCATGCTGCACCTATAAGTCTCTCTCCTGGGGCTTTGAAACCTGAGGACTCAGAATGGTTGACACAAGCTCATTTTAGTGGCAGCCCTGCAAGATGCTCGATGACCTGTTACACGGCCTCACAAAGATGCTCCTGTTTGTGTCCTTTAAGGACAACAGCTGCCCCTTGATTCTGCAGGGTACCTAATACATGTCCAATAAACTCATTTTCTGCTTAAGTAAGTAAATAACCCTAAATGCTGCACGGGATAACAGTACAATTAGATTTATTTTGTAAAATTGGATACTTTATTTCATAAAATGGATTTTTGTAAAATAACTGTAAATTGTCACACATCTGAAAGTTAGGCATTATTTTGGGTATAGATTGACTGGAACATGGGATCTCATTGTCTAATTAGGGAAATAGGATTCAACATAAAACCTTAATTAACATCCTTCTAATGCTCTACTATTCCTGTTATTTGCTTTCTCTATCTTGTCTGTTGTAGCTATAAACTGTTTTTTTAGAACTTGTAACAATCTTGTGGTTTCATTGTAATCCTTTTAGTTAGTATATTATAGTTTGCTGTAGAAATGAGATAAAAACAAAACAGTAATTATGAAAGGAAGCAATGCTTGGAATAGTACCTGTTACATCATAGATGAAGAAATTAATGAACAAATGAGTGAGTAAATAAGAATGATGAGTGAATAGTATATAATCTATTCTCTGTGGAACTTCAGGATAGAGAAAAAGCACTTCAGCCTAGAGTGGTCAGAAGCATGTTTCTGAGTTGTTGAGAGAAGGGTAGGATTTGAGCTGACAGACCAGCAAGGCAGGCGTTCCGAGCAGGAAATAAACATGAGCAAAGGCATAAAGGTGGAAAATCAGAAGCTGCACTTTGGTAAGCAGGAGCTATGGTGTGGGTTGTGGCTGCTGCTTTTGTGGGCCCCTGTGTAGGATGAACCCCTGTCGCTGCAGCCTTGTATCTGCTCCTTCCCTTAGGACCTCATTTTCCTTTTGCCTTAAGTTCTAGTGGAGGTGGTTGTTCTCTGGAGCCTTGGGTGTTTCAGGAATGAGGGGGTTGGAGGTGCCAGTGTCATTTATCTTTCAAACTTTCTCCTTTTCACTCTTATTTCAGAGCCCTAGCTCATTAGAACTTATGCTGTTCACCCATGCCCTCTTTATCATTTATAGCTGCCTTTCATATGAGTCTTCCTTTTTTCTATTCATCCATCCATCTATCCATTTGTCCAGCAAGTATTTATTGAACTCCTACTGTATTCCAGAGTCTGTTTTAGGTGCTGAGAATACAGTGGGGACAAGAGAAAACCAGTGCCCTGATAGAGCTTACATTCTAATGGGGTGATGGATAATAAAGGGAATAAATGTGTATTATAATTTTAGGTTTTGCTAAATGCTGTCAAGAAAAATAAAAACAGATTAGGGGTTAGAGTGAGGGGATGGAGTTGAGAGCTAGTATCTTAGGTCGACTGGTTATAGAAAGCTCTGAAGAGGTGATGCTGGAGCAGAAACCTGAATGAGGTGAGAGGGTGAGATGTGGAGTTTTTGGAAGAAGAGTAATCAAGGCAGAAAGAAGAGTTTATGCAAATGCCCAGAGGTGAGGATGAGCTTGAAGTGTCTGAGGAAGTACAAGGAGGTTCATGTGGCTGGAGCTAAATGAAGATAGAAGGGGTCAGAGGAATGGGCAGTGGCAAGATTATGTGGGGCCTTTAGCTTCCGAGTGTTCTTCTCCCCCAAGTCCTTCTGTCAAACTGGGTATGTGGATGATCCATCCAAAAACTTGGCTTCATGTTTCATTGATCTCATTTCCATTTCTTTCAGCCACTTGCTTCCATTGTACTACACTCTGGTCCTGGTCCCCATCTGAACTGTTCTACTTCTGAAATCAAAATTTCAGACATCTCATCCTCTGAAATCTATCCAGCTTATTGCTCAGCTAACCTCCAACACCCCAGTTCTTCAGCTTCAAATGGACCTTCAATTCTCTTACCTATCCCTCTCTATTTAACAGCCTCTGCCTATATATATTTCCCTCCCTATCCAGCTGAATTCACAACCTATCACTGCCAGTATTCTAAATCCTTTCTGTCACACCTTCCATTGCGTCTGTCTTGCCCGCCGTATATAAATTCAGCTGTCCCATCTCTTTTCTTGCTGGTTCGTGGGCTGCTGATCCACAGGAAAAAATAAGGCAAAGCACGCAGACTACTGTGGTTATACATTAATGATCATCAATTTCAGTTAAACCCTTAGCACTGCCTGACCAGCCTACTGTTTCCCTAGGCAGCTGTCTCCCATTTTCAACAACTATTTCAAAACTTCTCCACTCCCCTGAAACCTCTGACCCACCCACCACCCCCTCTCATTCTCCGTCGATGACTGAGTCCTTCACAGAACAAATAGAAGTGATCAGATAGGAATCCTCTCCATTTCTGAGCCACAGATCTACAATCCTCACTGTTCTCTGCATCAGTATTCTTTCTCTCCTCTTCCAGTAGAAGAGGCATTCCTCACATGTCTGGATCCCATTCTTTTTAGTGTCTTGACACTTTTCTTCTGTTTTCTACTCATCCATCTTTCTGATTTCCTCCCATTAAAAAAAAATTTTTTTCCCCAGTTTATCTCATCTTAATATCCCTTGACCCACATCCTCCTTCAGTTACCATACGCTTTCTCTCTTCTCCATTTTAGAAACTTCTGAAAAAGTTTACCTTCCCTTCCCAAGCCATTCCCAGTATCATTTCCAGGATCTTTCATGTTGCTAAAGCCAACGTACATTTTTCAGTCCTCATTTTACTAGATCTTTCAGCAGCACTTGACATCATTGATCACTCTCTCTTTCTAAAAAATATACCCTTCATCATCCTTTTTTTTTCCCCCACTCTCCTGTTTTGCCTCCCACATCTCTAGCAATGTGTTCTCATTCTTCTTTGCAAGACTCTGTCATCTACTGTCCTTTTAGTTGTAGGTGTTCAGTAGAGCTTTGTCCTAAGCCATTTCTCTCTGCAGACTTAAACCAGGTAATTTGGTTCATTCTCTTATCATCAATTTGCTGACGACTATCAGCTATAGATCTCTAGCCCATATCACTCTCCTGAACTTGAGACATAAATAATTACTTATCAGCTATCTGCCTTTAGATGTCTAAAAGGTACTTTAAACACAGGATGAACAAAATACAACTCATCTCCTACAATCTTGTTCTTCTAGTGTTTCTTATTCAAGAAATGACTTTGCCATCCACACAGTTGTTCAGACCAGAGGCATGTGTAACTCTTGGCCTCTCTCTCCCCTTTACTCATCACAGCTGGTCATTTACCAAGTCCTGTCAATTTCCCCAGTTAACTGGTTTCACTCACTTCCTTTTATTAAGTTCCCCCTTTCCCCCACCCCATGCATTTCCTATGCAGCAGCCTGAATTATCTTCCAAAGAGAAATTACATCCTTTGAATGCTTAAAATTTCAACTTGATTTCCATTGCTTTTGGGATAAAGTCCTGGTTCCTGCCTCTATCTCTAGCCTCATGTCTCTTGAATTCTTTTCCCCGGCTATTTTCTTTCAGTTCCTTTACTTTCACTGTCTGGATCCTGATCCGCCATCTACCAAGGTAACTCAGAGGCATTCCTCTGGTTTTAGATTAAACATCATTTTCTCCAGGAGGTTAGGAGCCCATGTTCTGTTTACATAGTGCCCTGAACTGCCCTTATCATAGAGTCAACAGGTTTTGTTGTAATTACTAGGTTAATTACCTATTTCTTCTGGATTATAGGAACTGTGTTTTCCTCTGTATCCTGGTATGTCACTGTGACTGGTATATGGTAAGTTCTTATTATATGCTAAAGGGAGAAAGGGAAAGAGAGAAACTAATATGAAATAGAGTACAAAATTTGCATACATTTTAAAGATAAAACATGGCTCGAAATAAATTTTGCTTTTCTGTCACACAAGTACGGTTTGCATTAACCTCACAACACAAATTACGTGTCAGCCTTTCCCCTCCTCCCCTCTTTAGTGGAAAGACATATTTAGGACATTTGGTCTGCAGATTCCATTGAATGGACAGAGCTAGATATTTACTTAGACCAGTGGTTCTCAGCTGAGTCTACCCTTTGGTATCCCTTGGTGGGGCATTTAAAAATTCTGTTTCCTGAGCCCCACCTTCATAGATTCTCATTTAATTGGCCTGAGATTTGTAAAGGCTCTCTGCATGATTCTGATGCATGGCAAAGTTAAGAACGTGACGGTTACTGGAGTCTTTTCCTCTGTGACTTGCTTCATTGACTGATTTTTGAGCCTGTTGGCGAACAAGACATGTAAACAATCCTGATCCACCAACTAGTGATTTCAACTACAACTAAAATTTTCTGAAATAGTAAAAAGAATGCATTGATACAAGTAACTGTCAAGTCCAGAGGTAGTGTTGGTTTTAGGCAAACTTGATCTGATGGCCCAGTGATGTCCCCAATTACTCTGTATCTTTCTCTTTCTCTTATCTGTCTTGGTGTTGGCTTTCTCCTGATTTAGGCCCTCCTCATGGCCAAAGATGGTTGCAAAAGGGACCTGGAAAGTGAACCCATCTTTGTCCTGGTATCATTATTAGAAAAAGTTCTCAGATTCACTCTGATTGGACTGGTGTAGGTTACAAACCAATTGCTGTGTTGAGGGGTTGAGATGTACTAGCACAAGGGTGAAGTACTCTTCCAGGAACCACAGCAATCCCCAAGTGTACAGAGGGAAGCAAGAGGGGAGAAAAATCAGTGCTGAAACCAGATGTCTGCTGTAACCACACAGGTTTGGCCTGGCTGCAGAATTTGGTCACAAAACTGTGATAGTACTTCATAGTTTTATACTGTATGCTAGACTGTGAAGTACATACCACTTTAGAAGTAGCATAGATACCTTCCATCAGTTCCTACAGCTAGTGACTAATAAACCGAGTAAGATTATATTCATCACAAAACTGTTGAGAAAGAACTTGAGAACAGAAAATTTGATTTGGATCCTGCAAATGTAATTTGCTTCATGAAATGGCTTTTGCTTAGTGCCTCAGTGAACACATTTTCTTGACGCATTTTGAAAAACAAAATATCTTAGACCCTCCAGAGAGTCTCATTTGTGGATTGCCACCCTCCAAGCTGAGTGTCACTAGCCAAGAAGAATTCTGTTGATCTTTGCTTTTTAAAATTTTCATTATGAAAGCAATAGGGTTTAAATTTCACCCCTAAAATATATTATTAAATTATAATACTGGTTATGCCATTTCTAATGACGTAGTCTTCAAAAAAAACCAAAAAACCAACCACCACACACACACAAATTCTCCTAAGAGTCCCCTTCCCTCTACCCATCCCTCAGGGGATGGTAACTCTGCCTAGTTGAAAACTCACTGTTCTAGAACTTGCTCTCACCAAACACCTTTCTGATTATAATTTGGCTTTGCATAAAAGTTTTCCCATAGTAGGAAATGTACTAACCATCAAACATGGATTTGGGGTCTGCTTGTAGTTATGTTTCCCACTGCAAGTTAATTTATTGGCATTCATCAACCCTTAGAGTCTCATTGTGTCTGCATGTGCTAACGTTTAAGTTGCTGAGTTTATAAAACTGAGGACCGCATTTCAGAACAAGGCCCCTGCCATAAACTTTACCAAGGCCAGCAATGTTATCCTGACCTGGTGACCAGCTGGTCATTCTTCAAGCCACCCTCACCAGATTCCTTTCCATTCAAATTGTACCAGTAAAATCCTTTTTAAAAAGAGGCATAAAATAGCACAGGTAGAGTTTTCTTTGACCATTTCGAACTGAATCTTCTGTCTTTATACCTAGCAAGATGGCACGCATGCCTAGACATGTGAGAGGAGAACAGGACCCTCAGGTGTCATCACCCTAGGGCTGATGACAAGAAGTTCCTTAAAAGAGAGTGCTTGTGATGAAGAAGAACTCAGTAGCTAGAATGTGAGCATTGAGTATGTATTGGCCCTAAAAATCTCTGGAATCATCTGTGGAGGGACGGAAGAAGCTTGTTTGCAAGAGGTGGAGACTGAATTCATCTGCAGGGCTGCAAATTCCAGTACTCTGGAAACAACAAAGAGGGATCTTCCAGTGATGAAACATCATGGACAAGCCCTCTGCAAAGATGCTGTTGTTGTTTTTAACTATAGAAGATTTCAAGCACATATATAAGCAGATAGAACAGTAGAATGGAGCCTCATATATTCACACTTAATTTCAATAACAGTCAACTCCTGGCCAGTTTTGTTTCATCAAAACCCCCACCCACTTTGCTTTGTGTCACCCACTCCCACTCCCATGTCATTTTGAATCAAACCTCAAGACATCATTTCTGAGATGGAGATCTTTTCCATTGAGGAGCAAATTTATTCTGGCTGCTAATATGAAAATGATCACTGTGTTTAGGGGACTTGAATTTCTTCAGATAATGATTCCCTTACAGTACTGTGTCTTTTTAAGTGTGGTATTAGGCTTCATTATCCAGGTAAAATTTCACTTGTTCATGGGGGAGTGTAATACATGCTGTTATTTAAGGGATTGTTCACAGGAAATGGAGAACAAACCTGAGAACTCCAGGAAAGGTGCTCAGGCCAGAGCCTCACCTTGCATCTTAGGAACTGGCCTGGGTTTGGCTAGATGTGACCTAGAGTGGGCCACAGGAGGCCCTTACTACCACCATACATGATTTGGTTCCCAGGCTGAAGAATCCAGGCTGTGGAAAATGTCCTGAGTCCTGACTACCTTTCAGGTCAAAACCATGCTGTCCTGAGTAAAGGTGTTCATTCCCTGAAGGGAGTGGACATTCCCATTTTCATTTGGAGGTGGACACCATGGTGGGCTTTGATTGAAGTTATGACATACTCCTTTCTCTGTTGGCCTGAGGGCATTTGAGAGCCTGGATTCCAGTTAAGAGAAACAAACTCAAGGGCCATCTGCAAGAGGAAGGAGATTTGGCCCCTGTCTTATCATGGCTGGCCAGGAGTTAGGCAGAGGGGGGGGTGGTGCCAGGATCTGGGGCTGAACATTGTTAGATAGGCCACATCCAGTAAGAATTATAGGTTGTCTTCTGTGTTGTATTGTCCTTCTATTTTTCTGAACCTTCAACAAAATCATATTAAAAGTTGTAGCCTGGTTTTACCAGCCTGGCGTGAGACTAAGAAAAGAGGTTGAGTACAGACATAAGACATCAGTACAATGGAGAATATCAGCAACCTGCTGTGAGACGCTAGTGCTGACTTCACAGGAAGGTTTTTGCACAGAGATTTTCTCCCTGGAGCCAGAGGCAATGACCATGATGGTCCTATGGGACAGGAGAATGTTCCCAGGGATTCTTGACGCTATTTGGGAGGTAAACCAGGTAAAAGACTAGACTTCCTGTGACCCTGAGGCAGGATGAAAGTAAAGGAAACATGCCTTATGCTAATCTCCAAGACCTGTGAGTCCTGAGCCTACGAGAGATAAATATTGACATATGTCTTATAAATTCTTGATGAGCGTAGCAAATTTCTGGAAGGGTACATGAGAAACTGCTGACGGGGTTTTCTCTAGGATTTTACTTTGTATTCGTCTATATAGTTTAAAAAAAAAAGGTTTACAAAGTATATATATTACCTTTATAATATAAATTAACCAAAATAAGATAAATATATATATTAAAAACATATTACCTCAAACGATATCCCAGCTGAACCAAGTTTATCCTCCATTAGGAATTAAATAGTAGAAAAACAGTGTGCTTTAAATATTACCCCAGGGTGGTTTACATTTGCCGAGTTCTTCCTAAATTTTTCTTCTGAAATGTTCCTACCTTAAAAAAAAAGACAAAATATATCTATTATTGAACTACAAGTTGTGGAACAGCTTTGGTGTTCTCCCAGGCTTACACCACTAGTAATGATGTTAATTCCTTGCACATAGCATTCCAGCAGGGTTCTCATCCCCAGTTGCACACCCAGAAGCCTGACTCTGAGGTCAGTAAACCCAGAGTAGGCTCGTTAGAGGCCACCTCTTTTCATAATTTTAAAAACTCTGCAGTTGATTCTGATGTATGAACACAGTTGAGGTCCAGCACTAGAAGTGGGGAGAATGTTACAGGGAATACCCCCAAAGGACTCAACCCAACCTTCTGCACAAGGTGAGTAGGCGTTAGATCACTGGTCCATCCCAAAGATACCCCACAAATAAGCAGAAAGCAGAGCCAAACAAACTGAACCCTGACAAAGAAGCGTAGACACCCTTGTAGTTAAAATATACTTGTTAGAAAGTTATTTTGAGTTAATTTTTCAATTCCTATCAGGTTTTTGAGTCTTGGTATTTTCCTCCATGCATTTTTTGAAAGTCCAATGTGTGAATAAAGAGAAGATAGGAGAAAGAATAAGGTGTGCTGAAGAAGGTATTTTTGGAGTGGGTTTTAGGACTCATTGGAGTTGGTCTTAATTCACTTAAAAGGGGCAGAAAAATATTCACAGGTAGCATGAGGTTAGTGTGAAAAATATAGAGCCTCTACTCCAGGATTTGGGGCCAGCACATTAGTTCTTTATGTCTAGTTGCCTTAGTAGCACAATATAAAAGGAATGGGACTGGATGCTTTCCCAGCCTTATAGTTCTATGTAACTGTGAAAGAGAACCATGGCAAGAAAGGCCAGGTATGGAAGGGAGAATCTACTTTTTAAACAAAAATTGGGATTCTTAACCTTGGATCTTTAGAGAACTTCAGGGTGTCCATGAACCTCCTGAAATTGCATGCAAAATGTGTGTATGTGTTTTTCTCGGATAATGATCCATGGGTTTCACTAGATTTTCAAACCATTAGGATCTGGTTTGAAATGATGCTTTCTTTTTCCATTTTTTGTTTTTTGTTGTTACTGTTTGGTATAATTCCCCTTTTCACTTATTTTTCAGTATAAATACAGCCTTGATGATACAATTTCTGTTCTTTCCAAAATGAGTATAATAATGTTACTTGTTTTACTAGCAGTAATATAAAATCTTGAAGAGAAACATAAATGCTTAGAAAATGTCTCAGTACTCACAAAGTTAATTTTTTTCCGAAACCTTAAGTGAGACCTTCCAAATATATGAATTTTTATGTCTTTACCTCAAATTTGAGAGTGTTCTCCTTCACTGCCCCCTCGCCACATCTAATCAGGGAATTAAAGTTTTTCAGTGTGTTTCACATTTACAAATTGGGTACGTTGTAATTGTCACCCTTGTCCTTCACCTCTTGGACACCAGAGGGCAGACATCTTAAGTCTCACTTTTATCTGGGACACAAATCCTCTTCCCCCCCACAGCAGTTTTCTCCTCCAGATTTGCTCCTGCACCTTGAAGAAGCTTAAAGGAACAATTCACTTTGCTCTTTCTAATAATTAACATCTTTCCTGGCAGTTCAACACACCCATCAGAGACAGAAAGTAATGATTACTAAGGAGGCTGCCACCCTTTACCAATCAGCACAATCAGAATTGTTCTCATAGTCTTTGTAAACAATCAGTTCATAATCTTTTGTTGTTGTTGTTCTTGTTAAGTTTAATTGTTTTAGGCTAAAAGACAGTCCAAAATTCTGTTTATCACTCCACCCTTCAAAGCTTGTAAAATGAGATAATAGGAGTGAATCTGCTTTCAGAGGGGAAGAAACACCCTATAAATGCAAAGTAGACTTAGCTTTAGGAGGTAGTTAACAAGGCCAGGCTATTTGCCTAATAAGTAATCAATAAATGGCCATCAATAAATGGCCAACAATAATTGCTAGGGACACTTTTTTTTTTTAAAGAGTAAAGTTAATTTTTGGTCTTTGTTTTGGTGTTTGTAGTTTTTATATCTTTATTTTTTATGATTTCTCTATTGAGCCTCCTTTATGAAAAATTTTCATTTTTTTAAACCTGTTAACTCTTGAGAACTTGTCCAATACTGCACACTTAGAACCATTTAAATAGCCATCTGTACAGTTATAGGATATTATGGGTATTAAGAAGTCTAGAAATTAAATTTTTTTAAAGTATGACTTTTTTGTTTGTTTACTATGAAAAGCCTGATCTCAGTCATCAGTGAGTAAATGGAAATGCAGATGTACAAATATGTGCAAACATATATTTTTTCTCTAATACCAAGTAAGAATATTTTTATTTTCCTTTGGGCCATCCATCAATCACAGTCAACTTACAGTAGTTTTCAAATTTCTTAGGATTGTTTTTATTTGTCTTTTTGTTCCTTCGACAGCTATAATTCGATTGAGCTGAAGGGGTGAAAGACTTGAGAGCATCAGAACGATTCTGAATTCAACACAAATAGCCTTCAGTAGTGAAGAAATTTTGTACTCAAGGTTTTGTCAGCATTTTCTTTGTAAGCAAACTTTGGACCAGTATTCCTATCAAGATGATTTTATAGGAGGAGGGTATAACTCAGTGGTAGAATGTGTGCTTAGCATTGCAAGAGGTCCTGAGTTCAATCCCCAGTACCTCCATTAAAAAAAATTAACCTAATTACCCCCTACAAGAGAAAAAAAAAAAAAAGATGGTTTTATAAAAGTTGGTGAGGCTCCCCAGCTCACTCCCACCAAAATAAAACAAAATGAAACTTGATTATGTTGCAGTTCCCTTGGTGAGCCCCACTACTCTTTGTTATTTGTTATCTTGACTTTCTGTCATTAGTATAAGTAATGGGAAGAGAAATTAATATTTGTAGAGCACTTTATTCACAGGCACCGAGTTGTACTTGTCCATTTCCCAACTCCCACGGGAGCTACATCCCACTGCTATCTCCATTACATGGGAGGAACAACTGCCTCTGGGAAGTTAAATAAGTTGATAAGATTTTAAAATTCAAGATACACATCATTACAGGAGAGAATTTTTGTTGTTGTTACTTTTTAGAATTGGCATTAATCCTGAATTTCCAGTGGTTAACAGGTGAAAAGTCTTCATTTTAAGTTAAATACTTAAACTTGGAATATACTTTAAAATTACTCCTGAGTACCTGGCAAAATATATTCTGAACTCCAGTTCCCCCCAACACCAACCCTATCCCAAGTCATAAGTTTCAGACCCCATTCTCATTTCCCAGCATTACCTTTCCTCTCCACCCACATACCCCACTCACCAGTGTAGTCACTCTCATCTACAGGGTATGTCAAGTCTGAGTGTTTTGTTTGGGAGGCAGTGAGTGTGGGTGGAGGGGAAAATGTAGCCTTGGGTGTCAGACACCTCCTGTCCTTAGTTATTTCCAGCATGACCTTGAGCAAATGTTGTGACTTGACTGGGCCTCAGTTTCCACCTCAGCAAATAATATAATAATAATATATACTTCTTAGAGTTATTTTGAACATTAAATGAGATATTATTTGTATTGTCCTGGAGTATAATTGGTTCCAAAATACTTCCCACCCTCTTTAGTTGTAAGGTGGGTGATATCTATCAGTAAATCATTTGGCCATTCCAGTTGTGGTTTAGAGCAGTGAATGCAGTCAGGAAACCTAGGGCTGTGACTCCATCATAGGAGTTAGCTTTTGGTATTGGCCTCAGACTAATGTCTACTTTCTAAAAATGTCTTGCTTGTGAGGCTCAAGAATATGAAGGTGGGTTACACAGTCCTGCTTGTGCAGGCCACACTTGGTTTTCCTCTCGCTGCAAGCATTTGTCAGCAACTAAAGACACTTTGGTTGTTGTGAATTCAGGAAAATTCAGGAACAAGAGAATGTTGTGAAAATGGCAAATCAAATACTGAACATGAAAAAAGCCGCAGCTAGGAAAAAAGTCTGATTTGGGGAAAGGATCATTTTCTGTTTTTGCTCATCCCTTTTCTTTTCCCTGTCAAAGTTCCCAATCATTTAAAATTTAAAACTGTAAAATAAAATTCTGCCTTTCTTCCCTTCCCTTCCCTTTTTTTGCCTTTGCTTCCCTTCTTTTTCCTTTCTTTTTTCTATTACTTCCACTCCATTCAGCATTTAGTTAATCAAGAACTATAAACTAAGCACCTGTTGCGTATCAGACATCATGCTGAGCACTGAGAATACAGTTATGGGCAAAATGGCCACAGTCTTGGGTCTTGTGAAGCTCATATTGGTTGGGAAGGCGGGTGGTAAGTAAGTCACAATAAATAAATGAATATCAAAGTAATAAAATGAAAAAAAAGTAATAAAATGATTTCAGAGAGCACTAAATGTGATGAGGAAAATAAAGCAAGCAAATGTTAACAGGGTAACTGGAGAGCCTCTTTAGATTAGGTGGTCACAGAAGGCCTCTTGGAAGAGAGACCTTGAACTGAGACCTGGCTGATGAGGTCTGAGCCATTGGAAAATCTGAGAGAAGAGCTTTGTGTCTGGGCTTTGCGATGGGAAGGAACTTAGTTTGTTGAAAGAAGCAGAAGAGGTAGGGTTGAAGGGGAGAGAGGGAGGAGTCAAGGTTAGAGAGGTAGGCACGGGGGGAGGAGCATTTCATGAAAGATCTCCTAGACTGCGGTTAGGTTTTGGATTTTATACTGGAGCCTTTTGAACACGGGGTCTGCTTAAGTGATCTGCTTAATGCTTGAAAGATTTGCCCTGGGCCTGTAATGGTAATGATTAGCGGCAGGGATACCAGTTAGGGAGTCATGTCAGCCCTGGAGCAAGAGATGATAGTGGCTGGAGCATAATGGTTGAGAGGGTGAGCAACAGACATTTGGGAATATAGACGTGAATGTAAAAGAAGAATTAGTGTGACTTGTGGGTGGATTAGATACAGAGCAGCAGGAAAAGGGAGGAATCAACCATGACTCCCAGGTTTTTAGGCTGAGCAACTTGGAGCGTGGCAGTGCCATTGCTGACATGTTGAAGACTGAGTTTGGGTTAAGGGTGTAGCCAAGAGTTCATGTTAATTTTAAGATTCCTTTCAAATACCCAAATGCTGATGTCAAGCAATCAGTTAAGTATGTGGTTCTAAAGCTAGAGATACAATTGACGGTTGTTGGCATGGAGACTGAATCATTTATTTAAAAAATAGATATTGAGTGTCTATTATGTACTAGTGGATATATTATATACTGATGTTGGAACAGTAAATTATGTAGTATCTTAGAAGGTGACAAGTTTATAAAAAAAAAGAAAGAAAGAAGGATGAGAAGAATTAAGATTGTGAGGGGTTGACCTACCTGGCTTATGGTTTTAAATCGGGAGATCAGGAAGACCTCACTGAGATGGTGAACTTCAAGAATTCCAAGAAGTGAGGGAGCTAGCTTTGTGGGTACCTGGAGGAAGAATGTTCCAGGCAGAGCCAGTGCAAACTCCCAGAGATGAGAACCTGGCATGTAAACAGCAAGCAGTACTGCAGGGCTGGGAGCAAAGTACTGGAGGACCTCCCTGTGGGCTGGGGGCCTCCATCTTTAAGAGCTCAGATAGATGGGAAGGGAAGCTGTCAAAGAAGATTGAGGAGAAGAGCCCAACCCGGTGGTAGGTAGAAAATGTGGTGCCACAGAAGCCAAGAGAAGAAACTATTTCAAGAAAAAGAGTCTGGTCAGCTGATGCTGCTGAAAGGGTAGGTGTGATGAAAACCACAAGTGACTTTATAGTAAAGCACAAGTTTATTTTCTATGTCTGTGAGTCTCTATGATCTGCAAATACGTTTGTCTGTCTTTTTTTTTTAGATTCCACGTATAAGTGACATTTTTCAAGTATGTAAAGCCTCCTCCCTTTCCCTTTCCCCATCTTCCTCCCAAACTGTACCCATTTAATTGCATCAATACATAATCAGCTTGGGTGGGGTTCATCAGTAAAAGCTGGGAAGTGAAATCACTTTGGCACAGTGATTAAGAGAACAGACTTTGGCTATGAACTTAGGTTTATATGTTGGCTCTGCTCTTTATTAGATATGTGAACTTGGGTAAGTTACTTAACCTCTTTATGCCTCAGTTTCTTTCTTTCTTAAAAGGAAATAACGATAATGTTTTATAAGAGTTTTGCAAGGGGTTAATTCATCTAATCTTCACAATGACCATAATTATGAGATAAATAGTATAATTAAACCTATTTTACAGATGAGAAAATCAAAGGAGAGATGTTAAGTAACCTACGCTAGGTTAAAAATCTATTAAAAATAGATTTACTATATAATCCAGCAATTCCACTTCTGAGTATATATCTACAAGAATTGAAAGCAGAGTCTCAAAAGGATACTTATACACGCATGTTCATAGTAGCATTATTCACAATGGTAGAAGCCAAAAGATAAAAGCAACCCAAGGTTTCCTAGACAGAAGAATAGATAAACAACATGTGTTATATACCTACAATGGAGTATTATTCAGTCTCATGGAAGGAAATCTGACACATGCTATAATATAGATGAACCCTGAAGTCATTATGCTAAGTGAAATAAGCTAGTTACAAAAAGACACTGTGTGATCCCACTTATATGATGTACTTAGAGTAGTCAAATTTGTAGGGACAGAAAGTAGAATGGTGATTGTAGAAAATAGAAGGGGCTGGGGGAAGAGTGATATGGGGAGTTGTTTAATGAGGACAGAATTTCAGCTTTGCAACGTGAAAAGAGTTCTGGAGATTGGTTGTACAATACTGTGAATGTACTTATTACTACTGAACTGTACACTTAAAAATGGCTATCATGGTAAATTTTATGCTATGTATATTTTACCACAATTGAAAACAAAACAGATAAACAAAATGAAAACAAACAAGGCAAAAAGCCACCAGTCTTGTAGAGAACATTGTGATTCTGTACTGTTGAGAGTGACAGAGAGTTTGATGCCTATTGGGTGGGGAATGCGTGAACTCAGTCACTGACAAGCCGAGGCACGGTGTTCTTTCATGACCCAAATATAAATGTCTACTCATTAGCTAAGGATGTGTCTTGGAGGTTGGTGATCTGTACTGTGGCGGTTCTAGGAAGACAAAGCAGTAGTTAGCCCTCTACTGCAAAGATGGAGTAGATGGGGGAGGGTGGAGATGAGGACAGAGGAAACATGGAAGACACCTGCCATGATCCTAGGTTAGAAGAATGGTGACAGTACTGCCATGTCCCAGGAAGGGGAAGCTGGAGCCTGAGCAGGTGGAAGAGGCAGTTGTGAGTTCAGTGATGGTAGTGTGAATTCTGGGGATAAGCAGAGCTGTCTTGTTGATGGTGAGTTTGAAGTCAGAGAGAGTGATTGGGACTGAGATGTCTCTTGCTGAGCATTTCCTCAGCTCTAGCCTCTGAGAAATGGTTTCCTCCAACATTCACTGTGCACATGAACATTTCAGAGATCCTGAGAGTGCTTTGGGAGAGGGAACTGCTTAACTTTGTTTAACCTAGGTTTTTCTAAATTCATTTGAATGCCCAACCCCTTTTTTCCCCCATAAAACCTATTAACTTACTGAGGACCACACTTTAGGGAATTGTTCACTAGTTTATACAGATATTTTTCTGTTGACAAAGTAAAACAAAGGAGAAACTGGTTAGAAGGTTGATAGATCTGTGAGTATTCAGTGTGTCTTAAGTCACCAAACCAGAGTGAGGGAGGTTCCAGAAACCTTGGCCTGACTTGGGGACTGAGGACACCGACCCCTCTGCATGGGTAGTGTTGGGGAAGGCTGCTGGGGGTTTTGATCAAAGACAGCTTGCTGGTTTGGCTTTCTACCTACTGTACATGTGCCAGTAAAGGCCTGATCCAATCCCTCCCCTGGTTCTTTTTTATCCTCTGCATTGGCTTCTTGTCCTTGCTTTTTCATTTGCATAACTAATGCACACAACACAGAGTTCCTGCAATTTTAAAGACAGCTGGCCAGCACATCTTGGAGGCTGATGTCAGGAAACATCTGGAAAAGGACTAAAGTTACTGCAGCCCAACTGAGAACAATGGAAACACATTAATATGGAAAATTCAGTATGGGGGAGCCTGTGTACATAAAAATGGCTGCCAGGCTGACTTACAAAAGCCTTGTGCAAAACCCTTTTGTTAGTTTGGGCATTGGTGCCACTGAGTTATTGAGTGATAAGCCAGTTAAAACTGAAATATTGCCACCCTCTTTGGGACCTTTCTCTTTGAGGCTTTTTCTTAAAAGGTTTTCCTAGAAATCCTGCCAGCTAACCAAGATACTCTTTTCTGAAAATTCATGAACTAGTATTTTATCTTATAATAATAACTTTAAGCTAATCTCCCTCTGTCCTCATTCTCTCTCAAAATATAAAGATATAAAATAGAGTTCTCATAAATATATTTTGCTGTCTCTTAAGAAGTCAGTGTTGGTAGAAATATTGAACTTTACAAAAACTGTGACTGAAATATTTAAATGTGAACACTATATCCCAAGGCTGCCTGGAATAGGGGTTAAAAGAATGGATTTTAGAGTTTGGATTCTGGCTTCTCCTCTTAACCAACTGTATGTGACCTTGCTAAATTACTTAATTAGTATAAATTAATCTGTAAAATTCTGTCAGCTATTTTGGCCTATTTGGGACTGTCACGAGGAGTACCCATGCTGATGTGTTAGAAGTGCTTAGTGAGATGCGTGGCCCACGTTAGCTACTATGATTGTAATTTTGTTGCTATCCAAGGATTAAGAAGAAATCCCTGCTCTGTTTCTCAATTCAACTCTAACACATTGAGCACTTGCTTCCAGTTTCCTGTCCTAGAGATGTATGTCTTAGAATTAGGATTTCTCCTACAGATGTTCCCCTAGAGTTCTACCTACTGTTTCACTATTTTATAGAAACCAAAGTGGTATTGTCTCTTGTGTGGATTAATAATTACCATCTCATTGCATCTCCCAATATTTGGACTCCTGGTCCTTTGTATGACACTTGCTTTACCCCTCTGAAAGCAGGTTGGATTTTCTCCTACCTTCAGGGTTCTGAAATTTCTCAGCGATGTGCTTTGATGTTGGTCTGTTTTAATCCATTGTACCAGGTGCTTGTTGGGCCCTACCAGTCTGGCAGCTTGTGTTCCTTGGTTTTGGAAATCTTTGTGAATTGTTGATTTATTATGAGTTCCTCCCCATTATTAATTCTTTTCTTTCTTTCTTGAACTCCTATTTATTAGAGTATTGGACCTTCCAGACTGATCCTCTGATTACTTTCTCCTTTCCTGTTATCTTTTCTTTGTCTGTATTTTCTGAGAGTTCCTCAACTTTATCACCTTACACCTTCTCTTAAGTTTTTTTTAACTCATATTTTAAATTTCCAAGAGTTCTTTTTTGTTCTTTAATGATTCTTTTTTTTTAATATATATGTATATAGCATCCTATTCTTATCTTTTTACTTCTCTGAAGATGTTAATGATAGCTCTTTTGGGGGGTGAGGGGGAAGCTTATGTTTTCCTTCCTAGTCTGTTTCCTCTCTAGTTGATTTTTTTCTCCTTGTGTGTTGTTTCTCTGTATTCCCTGGTAGAGATTTGCTGTCTTCAGATGTCTGGTAATCCTTACCCTTCACTCATATTTTAAAGCTGGTGGGAAATTGTGTCATGGATAAAGCTTGTCGAGTTCAGGCTTTACTCTGAGGGGATCTGCCTGGGCCACTTATATGAGGGGAAATGTCATTGCCCTTAGGTCTTTTTTCTTGGTCTTAAGTTTTTCGGAGAGGAAATGTCTACTTTCCTGCGTAGGGGGCTTAGTTATACCTGGCTTCCAGTGTTCTGAAAGTTAAATGTGGACTGGGAATTACAACACTTCTTTATACAAACCTTTTTTTCCAAACCTCTTTGCTTTCAGTATAGTATTCCCAGTCTTAATCATGCCTAGTGCCCCTAATTCTCACTTAAAGACCCTCATCCTCTGCAGAAGGAAACTTCAAGTCTTATCTTTTGGAGAAAAGCAGCTGACCAAGCTGCATGTGAGAAGTGGGCTTTGGAGGGGCCTCTCCTGGGAACTGGGTTGCTTCTTGGTTTTTCTCTCTGCTGGTTTAGGATTTAGCTTTCTCAGTTCACTGACTCAGACACTAGTTGACCTGTTTTTCAGCCTCTGACATTTTGTTGCTGTCGTTATTTCCTCCTTTTAGTTTTTACAAATCTCTTTAATTCTATTTTAATGGAGATTTGGGAGAGGGGTTAAATCCATTTGTTCAATTAGCTATCTTTAATCAGTATTTTTTTAAAAGATATTCTTGATATAATGATTTGTTCTGAAAAATTAGATTTTCTATGCCAGAATTCCAAGTCAAAGAATTCTGATGAGATCAACTAATCTATGTAGAATAGTTTTGTAAATGTATTCATTAACTTCCAACCAGTTTTTGATATTTTGGCCATTATAACTGCTGCGTGGTAAATGTTTCTGTTTGTTGGCAAAACTCGCTTGGGTTGCTCATCACCTTTTATGTGGTTACAGATGTAAACAACATGTGTGCCCCAGATGGGCGCTGAAGTCCAGGCTCCCAATTTGTGACACACTCCTTCACACCAGAGGCTTCCAAATATAAGTCCCTAAGTCCACTCATTTCAGCTTGGATCCTGGCAACTCGAAGAGAGAAATCTCTGAGTGACTAAAATCTCTATAATGAGAAAACCTTTACATTCATTATCTATTGTGGTGGGAGACTTTATATTCTACCTTCTTTTTGTTGAGTGAGGTGTGGGAAGAGATGTGGAGTTAGGGTGGAGTGGAGACAGGGTTGTAACAAGATGAGTAACACACAAGCTAGGATTTAGGTCCGTGGTAAATGCTATGTGTCGGAATGAGGATTCCCACGACTGATATCCTCCTGGCAGAGCTAATTTCACAGGGGGCGGCTCAGGCAGTAACTTGAGTGGGTCTGGACTGTGTGGCATGTGGCCAGTCTCACAGCAAAACAGAATCAGCAGAGCTCAGAAATGCCATTGCCAGCCTGGTAAACAGTAGTCAGAACTGAAGTTCCTTAACTGATTTTTGACCTCCATGGTTAATGGAAGACTAAACTTGCTTGTTGTTTTATTAGTCAATCAGAATGTGTCTGATAGCATTTTTTTGGGTTGCAAGGGCGAAGTTGAGGAAAGCTGCTTTTGAAGATCTAAGAATCAAAATAATTGCTTTTCCTTAGTGCCTACTATTTGCTGGATGCTTTACATACATAGTCTCATTTAATCCTCTCGAACAATCCTGCGGTGGTTTTATTACAGCCATTTTGCATGAAAAATCTTCAGTCTTGAGAGGTTGAGTAACTTACCTGAGGTCACAAAGTTATTAAAAATTGAAGTGCACTTAAAACCAGGATTTTTAGAATTTTTCTCAGAAGTTCAGCATAAGCCAGCCTGCCAGGCCCAGCAGACAATAGACAATGTCCATAAGACTTTTTGTATTGTTTGTGCAGTGTTCATTTTGAATGTCGGGCACATTTCAGATGTGCCAAGAGAAAACGTAGTCTATTCTTGATGATATATAACAAAATCAAAGTCAAACTTGTCTGTTCTGTAAGTATAATGCAAGTATATACAATTTTGTGACAGTGATCACAGCCCAGCAAATCACCTTCCAATACAGATACACAGATGACACAACCACAGGACGCAGAAGGAGTCAGCTGAGGGTGCTACTTACCTGGGCTGCCTTTTTGTCTAAAACTATCCCCGCCTAGTAGAGAAACTACCAAGACTTGGAGTCCTGTGTTCCAGTCCTGGTGTGGGTGCTCACCCAGGTGTAGTAGGCTTGTCACCTATGAAGGAAACTCAACTTCTACGAATACCTAATGTGTGCTAGGCACAACTTTTCTTTGTGATTTACTTGTTTTTGTGAATAGTCTATACATGTCCAAGGGTTCTGAAGGATACCAAAGTTAGACTCCTTCTCTCCTTGGCCCCCAGCTTTGTGATTGTCCTTCTTGGAGTTAATCATTGCTAACAATTTTATGTAATACTTCCAGAGGTGCCAGAAACTTTCTATATATTATGTCCTTAAGCCTCTTGGTTATTGCTTCAATTTAATTTAATTTAATTTTTTTATCTTTTCTTAGGATTTGAGGCAGGAAAAAGGCCGATAATATGTGCTTAGCCTTCTTTTCTTTTTGTTGTTGAAGTATAGTTGATTTACAATGTTCTGTTAGTTTCTAGCCTACACTTTTTGTCCCCATTTTACAGATTCCAAAACTGAAGCTGAGTGATTGGAGTCTAATAGTGGATTGGACACAGCTGATGAGAGAATGAGTGAACAGAATAGAGGGTAAGCTATGGTTGGACTATAGAGAAAAGTCTAACATGTTTCTTGGAGTCTCATAAGGAGAAGAAAAGAGTCTTTCCTTTCCTCTGGCCTTCCTCATTCCTCTGGTCAGTGCCTTTATTCTTTTGATGATACAAGCTCAAAAATTAAGAGGCTGGGTGGCTGAACAACATGATCAGGAACCCCAGTTTTTCCCATCTTTCTCTTCATCCATCTTCAGGCCAGCTGCACTTCTGGTTATAAGATGGCTGCCAGAGATCGAGGCATCAGAGCCAGTCTTCCAATGTGCAGATAAAGTGGAGGGCGTCTCCTCACGTACATCTGGTAGGAATGAAGACATCTTTCCTAGAAGTCCCTAGCAGACGTCATTGACCAAAACTTGGTCATATGCTCATTTTTATAATAGCCAAGGAGTATAGTATTATCATAAATGGCTTGCCCCTGAGCTAGGCATAAGGTCATCTTCCCTGAGGTATGGATACCCAAATAAAATTAGTTCTTCTAACTAGAAAGGCGTGGGAAATAAAAAGAAGGAAGATAGGTCACTCTAGTTTCCTCCTACCTCCTTAGTCTAAGCTCTTGTAACCTCCCTCAGAGACAAGTATTAAGAGCTTCCTAACTGGTCTCCCAATATTCTCTCCCACACAGCCCACCTTACACAAAGTTGCCAGATTCATCTTCCAGAAACACTGCCTTGCCACAGTGCCCTTCGGTTAAAAAAATGTCATTGGTTCTCCCTGACCTTCAGAAAAACATTCAAATTTAACATAGAATTTTCAAATCATAAAACATAAGAGTTGAAAGAACCAGAGAGCTTGGAATGTGAAAGGCTGGCACCAGGTGTATTAGCTTTCAGCTGTACTAGAAAACACAGATATGTGTTCTCTCCTAAATATTTATTTTGTCTAACCAAAGGCATGACCTACAGAAATCTCCCTAAAAGAGCCATCTTCAAATTGGGTTAAGCAACTTTGAAGAAGTATATGTACACTTTTTTTTTTTAAACAGCATCAGTTTCCAGGTTTTCTTTTTGTTTATATATATATTTTTTCATTGAAGTATAGTCAGTTTACAATATTGTGTGAATTTCTGGTGTACAGCCAGTTTCCAGGTTTTCAACTTATTCTTTCTGAAAACTAGCCTTATGTTTTAATACAAATTCTTTATTTTCATCCTCCATTTCAAAGTAATCTCTGTTCTCCTTACTCATCCTGAATCTTGCCTTGGAATATTGCCTCCAGGATCTTGAGAAGCTCTGGGGAGTGGGGGAAGAGGCAAACAAAGGGGTGATTTGAAGTTTTGATTTTGGGAAAGCCTCCTTCATGATTAAGGAAAATACCAGACAGGTCTTTCCATGAAGGGTGAGGTGTGGCTTTAGACTTGGGGAATTTGGGCCTGTGCTGGAAGCTCTGTATTCAGATAGTTGTGGAGTGCAGAGGTGAAACATCTGATCACTGTCAAAAAATGTGTAACTCTTGAGGGAGAGACTCATGACCACAAAGTAAAGAACATTTGAAATGCTGAAAATGGTGGCTGCCATTTGTTTTCAGTTATTGTCAAAATTCCGTCCTGGGTGGTGTCATTGGTTGAAAAGAGTCACCCCCGTGAGAGGGAGCAGTACAGGTTTCCGGTGCTGATGCAGGGCTGAGGGGCATAACTGATGGGCACACGCTGGAGTCTCATACGTGTGTTCAAGTGCTGTCCACATTCACTAGAAGAGAGTGTGAATGATGCTGTCTAAACTTCTGCAAATTAGGGGGTGATAGGAGAATTCTTTTTAATATAAATAAAATGTTTTATGAGACTGCTGTATTCTCTACTATACTAGATAAAACTCATGGATAAAATTTCACGTGCTTTTTTTATATAAGGTGGGAATCACTGAATAGAGTAATAAAAATTTACATGTATGAAATTATATCATGGAATGTTTTTACAGTGGTAGTCAATTCTCATCTTATTTACTCTTTTAAAATATTAATGCAAAATAAAATATATGCTAGCTGCCGAATAATTTTTAGCAGTTGATAGTTCTTCTCTTTCATTAAACAAATGGGAAAGTTAATTAGTTTTTAAAACCTTAATAGATTATATTCTGATTTTTATGTGTGATTTTGATTCAGTTTTCTCCCCCAGAGCCCATTACCTACACACATGTACATTTACCAAAGAAATACTAGGACTTGCATTATTCCTTACTTTGTAAGTAACTAATATTTCAGCCACATTTTATTGTATTATTACAAATTAAGTAATGAGAAATAGCATTTTTAAATTGTTTTATACATTTTAAATTGGTAAAATAATTACATTAGCTCTACATCCTGATGTATGACTTTTAGTAATTTATCTTACAAGGCGTGTTCCATAATTTCTCTGTGGTTTCATACTATTCTTCACATTGCATTTTAACTTGATTTGAACTGATAAATAAATTTAGACTTTTTCCAATGGAATACATGTGTTTACCTGATTTATCTGATTGGTTTGACAGTGAGGACTGCCTTTTCCAATTAGTCTGTATGGAAAGTATTTCCTATAAGAGAAATGAGCTAAATCAGTAGCTACAAGCTTTTTGACAAAAATATTATTTAAAAATTAGAATTTTTTTGAAAATAATATACTGGCAAACATATTTCTTAAATTTTTTTCAGAGTATATAAGGCACCTCTAATTGGAAAAGAATAGAGGTAGTCATTTAAATGACTGAATCTTAGTAGAAATGTTAGCAAACCTCCCAGAAATTGCAGAAGTAAATGGCTTTTGTAACTGGGTATCAAATCATTTTGCAAGTCAGTTTGTTTCTAATAAAAAAAACTTTCCATAAAATTGAAGGAGTCCTCAGTTGAGTTGTTAACTGATGGATTATTAAAGCAAATTTTTTTATGATAGATGATAAAATTATTTGTTATAAAAGGATGACGTTCACATAATTTAGTTAAGATTGCCTTTTTAAAACGCTTCTTCCATTCTCATCCTTTTATTTCTGTAAAATTTTCTTGGCGGTAATGTTTATGAAGATGAGTGAAGATCATTTTGTAATATATAAAATCACTGTTTTGTGCACCAGAAACTCATATAATGTTGTAGGTTAATTATACTTCAAAAACAAACAAACTCATAGAAAAAGATACCAGATTTTTGGTTACAAGAGGAGGTTTAGGGGTGGGGGGAGGAGGAATTGGATGAAGGCAGTCAAAAGGCACAAACTCCCAATTATAAGATAAATAAGTACTACAAATGTAATGTACAACATGATTAATATAATTAACACTGCTGTATGTTTATATATGAAGATTGTTAAGAGAGTAAATCCTAAGAGTTTTCATCACAAAGAAAAATACATTTTTTTCTTTTATTTTGTATTCATATGAGACGGTAGATGTTCACTAAACTTACTGTGGTCATCATTTCATAATGTATGTAAATCAATTGTGCTGTACGCCTTAAACTTACACAGTGCTGTATGTCAATTATATCTCAATAAAACGGAGAAAAATTCATAAAAATGAAAAGTAGGAATGAAATTGATGCTCTAACTTGGGACACATGAACTAATTGAAAAGTAAACAGTCTCACCTTATTAAGAACTGCAACTTTAATAACATTTTACTTTTTATGTTTAATGTTTATCTGAATTTGTCCTATGTGTGGGTTATTTTGATAAATTTTATACTACTAATAATTATACTGATAAAATTCTTTTTGACACTTTAGAATCTATGAGCTGCCTCCCCAAATTTGTTCTCCCCTTCTTGGGTGCACACCCAGCCTACATTTCACTGTCTCCCTTGCTGCAAGGGGTAGCCATGTAGTTGTTCTGGGCAACAGAATGTGAATAGAATTGATGTGGGTCACTTCCAGGCCTGTTCCTGAAAATCTCATCCTTGCACTCTTTGCTTCTCCTTTTACAAACTACTGTCAAGAATGAATCTCCAGCAGGGAAGGTATAGCTCAGTGGTAGAGTGCCTGCTTAGCATGCACGAGGCCCTAGGTTCAATCCCCAGTACCTCCATTAAAAAAACTAATTAAATAAACAAACCTAACTACGTCCCTCAAAAAAACAAACAAACAAAAAACCCCCACAAACAAAATTAAATAAATAAATACAAAAAAATGAGTCTCCAGGAGAAGCTTGGCAAACTTCAGTAAAAGGCCAGACAATAATTACTGTGGGCTTTGCAGGCCACAGAAGGCCTCTGTCTCATATTCTGCTTGCTTTTTTTAAAGCAGTTATTTAAAAAGGTAAATCTATTGTTAGCTCCCAGGACACCTAAAAATAGGCCCACCAGCTAGATCCTAATCATAGGGGATAGTGGAGCCACTGATGGAAGGCACTTGGGTCCCCTAATCACTGTGTGGAGGAGAGCATCTTCCTTATTTGAGCACCTCACCCAGGACTATCATGAGAGAAGGAAAGAAATTGTGTTGAGCCAAGGCATGCTTCCACCTATTTGTTATTACAGCTCAACCCAACAAAGTATATGATATTTACAGATTTAATTTACAAATTTTTTAACAATGAATTATTAGACCTTTGAAGTATGTAGGAGAAGTGAGATAAAATTATGAGTTTAAGCAGACTCACAGATACAGAGAACAAACTAGTAGTTATCAGTGAGGAGAAGGAAGGGAGGAGGGCCAATACTGGGCTAGGGGATTAAGAGATACAAACTACTAGATATCAAATAAGCTACAAAGATAGATTGTACAACACAGGGAATATAGCAAATATTTTACAATAACTGTAAATGGAGTATAACCTTTAAAAACTGAATCACTATATTGTATACCTGTAACATAATATTATACATCAACTATACTTCAATTAAAAAAAATTTTACTGAGCTTAAGGAGAAAGGAGAATGATGTAGAATTTCTAACTGTTACAGAATTTGTATATGTATTTTTAAATGGATGATGGTGGGCATCACATTGCTTGGATTTTAAATGCAAGTGAATCTTTTAAAGAGGGTACTGTGATAGTTTATTTTAAAACACCTGTATTAATAATATATTGGAAATCACAACCTTTCCAATTATTCAAACATATGAAACATCTTAGACATCAACTAAAAACTTTTCGAAGGGTTGCAGGGTTTTAAAGAATTATTTCAGGGGACATGCCAAAAATCTTTGAAGAGACTTCAAAGAACCTTTAAAAAACCAAACCTCTTTTGAAAGCTTCATAGATTCATTGGGCTGGAAGAACAAGCAGGGGCTTTTCTGGTTCACCTCTGCCCTTTTCAAAATCCTGTGTCTAGGTCACCTTAGACAGTGTTCGACACAGGAATGCCTTTGCACTTCGAGAGTCCTGCCAGCAGTGTCACTCTGCTAAGTGTGGACTCATTTCTTCTGACCTGAGGTTTTCCCACTGAATCGTGAGGATGAGAGTTGGATTCTTTCTCTTCTTTCAAAAATTTTCCTTTCTGGATTGTTCTGAGGATTCGTGAGTTAAACATTTGTTGAGAGCTTTGCGATATTTGGCTGAAAGTACCAAATCTTATTTATTATTGTTGGCTGGGTGAAAGATATACAAGTGCAAAGTATCATTTTCTTCCCTGGGCACACCGCATTATCATGCTTAATCCCCAGGAAACTCATAACCTCATTCTCATACAGGGCCTCCTCATTTACATAACCCGCCACAAACTGAGCTAACAAAGGACTTCTGGGAGAGGATTTGCAGTTTCTTCTGTCCTTCAGAGAATTTCTGTCTGCCTAACAGGTGTGATAACTTTTTTGTCTGGCTGGATTGACAGTCCCTTACTTAGTCCTCTTACAGCAAGAGTGAGTAGGAAGGAGGAAGACCGTGGGCAGTGAGAAGCTTAGGAAGATTGAGTTCTTATTTTGATCTGTCCTTGTCTACTCATCTGACCTGGACAAGTCACTTCACCTCTCTGAGGTTTATGTTCCTCATCTAAAAAATGTGGGAGTTGGAATAAGTAATTTCTGTGATTTTCTTCACACTTAATATCTCCTCTTAAGCATGTCAAAATGCTGAAAAACTGCCCTGAAAATTTCAATGTATTGGTGTGTATCATCTGGCAATATGTGATACACAGCAAGAAAAGTACAAAATTAAATGCATAAGAGATACTGTTTTCCAAAAAAGCTTTAGGTTAAAGTTCTTTATTTAATTCTAGTTTTCACAGTAAATGTGTTTTATGCTGTTAGACCTATGAGGCTGCTAATGGTGGTGGTGGAGGTGGTAAGTGTGGTGAGAGAGGTGTGGAGGTGGTGTTGATAGTGATAGCGGTGATGGTGGAGGTGGTGGTATAAACATCACAGCCACCTTGAAAGAAAACACGTATATTAATGCTTTCATCACAGTGTCTGTTCATCTTTATGATTCCCATAGATCTTGGGATCTGCCTCGCATTAAACAGGTGCTTGATAGCTCTTTGATGAAAGAGTAGCTGGAGATAACTACAGATGCATCTTGCCCTAATATCTAAGGCAAAAACTAATGCTCTTGTAGCGATCTCAGATTTAATACCACTTGACATAACAGGCTTTCTAAGAAAGCTGGGAAAATACTGTCTCTGAAGTCATTTTAATTGATGTTGCCGTTGCTTCACTTTCTAATGAAAGATGAAAGCGTGTGCGGATTATAGGAGGACCTTTTCTCAAAAGTAGTGGGAGAAAAACCACTGAAGTTTATCTACTCAAAAAGGGAACAGAATTTCAGAGGAAGAAGTTTGACTTGGACTATATCTAAAAATCAAAACTAAAAATTATAAAAATAATTTTATCTTATACGTAAAAAAAATTAGGTTACTACAGAAACTATGGGCTGGTCCTTGAAATGTACAAAGACTGAATCAAATATTGGGTTTTGTTTTTGTTTTTGTTTTTTTCTTTGGAAGGCACAATTTTTTCAACAAAAGTTGATGGAGACAGAGGCCATTCATGGGCCCAAGAGCATGGACTCCCACTTACCAAAGCCAATCTAGTTCCTGCTGCTTCCAAATGTCCAATGTACCAGCCACAGAGACTGAGCCTCCAATATGGTACTATTCCTGGAAGAGTCCAACCGGCCACTTGGCAAGTTGACTACAGTGGGCCTCTTCCATCCAGTTTATCTGCACAGGAGTAGAAACGTATTCTGGATCTGCGTTTGCTTTTCTTGCCCACAGAGCCTCGGTTAGCATCACTATCTGGAAAATTACAGAATATCTGATTCATAGGCGTAAAATCCCACACAACATAGCATCCCATCCAGGAATCCACTTGGCCACAAAGGAGGTGCAGAAATTACCCTTTAGCTGTCGGGCCCACTGGTTGTAGTACATACCCCAGTATCTAGAATTAGCTAAACTGACAGAAGGCACCACTGAAGGTGCAGGGATGAAGTGGCATCCTTGAGGGTGCAGTGTATACACTAAGTCGGAGACCTTTGATATTATGTAACTTAGAAGAAGAACACACGGGCACAAGAACAAAGGGGTGGAAGCAAGAGGAGGCCCATTTAACATCACTGCCAGTGACCCATTAGGGAACTTTATGCTTCTCCTCCTCACAAATTTCGGCTTTGTAGAGTTAGAGGTCCAGGTCCCCTAGGTTGTTCACTCTTGCTAGAGGACATGACGGGAATCATTGAACTATAATTAATGAATGTCACGCAGGCACTTTAGACTCCTGTGCCCACAACCACCAGGTGAGAAGAGTTGCCACCATTCTGGCCAGAATCAATGACCCTAAGATGTGGGAGAAGCTGCAGCTATTACTGCACATGGCAGGGTTTGGGGTGGAGTCGGAGAGCAATGTGCGTAACCAGGTGATCACTTGGTGCCTCTGGGGATTTGCTTTCCCGATTATAACAATGGATGGACATACACAACAGCCCCGATTTGAGAAGGGATGATTCCAAGGGCTTGGACTTCCTCAGAGTGAAGGCTTGAGTTGCACCACCAGGTAAGCAAGCCAGCAACACCTGCAGAGGTGACATCCTAGGATGTGGAGACTTCAGAGGGGATCATGGAGGAGAGAGTAAGTGCCAGCTGTGGCCTCAAGACCAACTGCAGACACAGGGGCTGTGGCTTGAGTCACTAATGTCCCTCTTCTAAGTTTCCCCTCAGGAGGAGAGGTCCACGGGCACTTTGGAAGAGCTGCA